ATTGTAGGGTGTTTAGCAGCCTCCCTACTACCCACTAAATGCTAATACCCCTTCCCCCAATGTCACATCCAAAAATGTCTCCAGACATTGCTGATGTCACAGGATGGGGGCGCATTGTTCCGGGTGAGAACCACTGGTCCAGGATAGTATCTTCAGACTTTGATCACACAGCCCTATGGCCAGAATGTTTGTGCATATCCCCATGTATGTTTATTACTCTTACTAAATTTATATATTAGAAACATGCACAAAATAGAAATTAAAGGTAGAAATGATAATGGTACAGAAACTCTCTCTGTACTATCTTCTTCCTGTATGTCTGTGGACCTCTTAAGTATGCACTGCTTAAGGATGTCCCCCAGTTTGGCTATGAGGTCTAAAGTAATGGCATCTCACCGGGACTGGTCTGTTTCCTGAAGCCCACAACGTGCCACTGGGAGTGGATGCTGCGTGTGACTTTCTGCGGCCTTAGCATCGGCTTCCTGGCCCTGGGCTGAACCCAGAGAAGCCTGCTCTGAGGCCTGGGGAGGGGCAGTCTGCCCGCCTACACCAGCTGTCCCCCGGATTGTGTGTGCAGAGCAGGAAGGTTAGAGTTGTCACGTGTGGCATGTGGTGTGGAGAGGCTTTTCCTGTCACTGTCTCTCCCTGTCCCCACCCCTCCCTAGTGCTCTGGCCTCCATGCAGAGGGAGCTGGGAGGCGGAGGCGTCCTGCAGGTGGGAGGCTGCTGCTGCATCAGCCCGGGCCACCAGGATGGGAGGACTCGGTGACTTCCTCCCTAGTGCCAGTCTTGTCGCCTCGTGCCCGGCAGGGAAGGACACTAGGGCCCTGTTGGTTTGGTGGCAAGGAGCATGAGGACCAGAGGAAGGAGAGGCACCTGGTGCTGCTGTGTGAAGGGTTGCCAGGCCAAGTAAGGCTGAAAGATGATTGGGGGCGGGGCTGCTGGTGGAACCGATATGGGGTTCCCAGTGTTCAGCCCACAGAAAGTCCCGGAACCTCCTGTGATTCCTAGGCAGGAAGGGGGTTCAGTGGAGCACCGCTGAGCAGCAGCGATGGAGGATGGATGGGAGGCTGTCCAGAGCTGCGGCCTCCTGCCTTTTTGCATGGGACTCTGAAGAGTCCTCTCAGTGAGGTCTGCGGCCCCGGGGTGAGGCTTCATCCCTGCTAGTGGGTGAGGGTAGGTCCAGGCTGGCGCTGCAGGGCTTCTTTGTGCCAGACAGTTGGGAACTGACAGGAACGCTTCCACAAAGGAGGTAACTGGTTGTACTCCTCAGTGCTCTGGCCAACATGATGAAATGTTGTTAGGAAGTTTGGAAAGCCAGTCTGGAGAAGTCAGCGTGTTGGTTCAGATGATCGTCTTGTACGTGTGGCTCACAAAGAAAGAAAAAGAAGTTGAGCTGAAAGATACAGAATTCTGCTCTGAAAGGTTTAAGTTTCAGGAAGACTTCTTTGGACATTTCAATTGACTATCAGCTTCTTCTAAGAGCATTATTGTACCACAGCTTTAACGACTTAGAATGTCCTTTGGACATTTTTCACCTGAGATTTTTCCTGGCAGGCAAGAAGGGACTGACTTCTGAGTAGTAACATTGTTTAGAGCGCCTTACTTTGTCCCCTGGTTAGTGGTCTGGAAGGCCAGGCGGGGCCTGTCACCACCGCCACAGGCACAGGGACTGGGAGTGAGTGTGGCTTGCCATCCTCAAAGAGTCCACCGCCTGGTTGACAGTAGGACATTGCCTAGTTGGGGAAGCACACTGCCCCAAAGGTCACCCTTTGATCAGCGGCATAGATTTGGATGACACTGGCCAGATAAGGAGTGCAGCTGGCCTGGGCAAAGCGGAGGTGGTGACCTGTGCCACAGTCGAGCTTGTTGGCTTTCTGATGAAAGAGTTCCTCAGAAGCTGTTTTGTGGTGGGGTTTCTTTGTTGTTGTTTGTTTTCGGTGTCATGGAGTCATGTGATTGAGCATAAATAGGTTTCAGCTATTCCTTTATCTGATTTTGTAGCATGTAAATTTTTCCCAATGTTTTAAAATATATTCTTTCTTTTAAATATATTTTATTGATTTTCCACAGAGAGGAAGGAAGAGGGATAGAGAGCTAGAAATGTCGATGAGAGAGAAACATTGACCAGCTGCCTCCTGCACACCCCCTACCAGGGATGTGCCCGCAACCCAATGTATTATACTTGCCCTTGACCAGAATTGAACCTGTCTGCAAACTGATGCTCTATCCACTGAGCCAAACTGGTTTCGGCTAAAATATATCTTTTAGGCACATGTTTATGGTAATAGATAATAGTAATTATTTTGTGTGAATAGACATGGTTAGGAAGTTATTATTTTTTAATATATATATCTTATTGATTTTTTTACATAGAGGAAGAGAGAGGGATAGAGAGTCAGAAACATCAAGAGAGAATCATCTATCAGCTGCCTCCTGCACACCCCCTACTGGGGATGTGCCCACAACCTACCCTGTTTCCCCGAAAATAAGACAGTGTCTTATATTAATTTTTTCTCCCAAAGTTGCGCTAGGTCTTATTTTCAGGGGATGTCTTATCTTTCCATGCGCTAGGTCTTATTTTCCGTGAAACATGGTAGGTACATGCCCTTGACCGTAATCAAACCCGGGACCTTTCAGTCCGCAGGCCGATGCTCTATCCACTGAGCCAAACTGGTCTCGGCGGAAGTTATTTTTTTTTTTAAAACACTCCACATTATATCCTGTTTTCTTTAGAGCCAGTTATTACAGAACAGCATTCCGTTGGGTCCACTAGCAGGGATGAAGCTTCCAAATCAATTTTTCTTGATACAAAAGGACCCATTAGAGTTTTGAAGTCCTACTTGTCTGATCAACAATTTTCCATCTGGAGTAAGAGTGAAACAGCGCACATAGCTGGCAGAGCTGTCTGCACCACCCGTCTTCCCACAGTGCTCCCCGGGAGGAAACCTGAGCTCAGAGGGACAGGCCAACCGGCTGTGGACACAGGGTCTGGATTTGGGTTTCACGTTAGACACTGAGCCGCTTTGTGACCTCACTGAGGCCCAGGTTCCCTCTTTGTATGAGCCCCAGCCCTGAGGGGTAATGCTGGCCGGTTCATCCATCGAGCTTCCTGCGGCCTCCCGCCCGTTCTGACAGGCCCCCTGCCTTGCTTAGTGGTTGGTAGGCTTTGGCTCACAGTTCAGAAAACACTGTGTATATAAACAATTTGTTTTAGGTGCATTATTGTCATGATTCTAAAGCAGGTTTACCTAAATAGCCCAACATGGCTATCCCCACCCCCAGTTTACCTTTTAGTCTCTTTTTTCTGACATTTCCATGCCTTAGGATGAATTGAGGCTGAAGAGTTCCTACCTTGCAGGATTGTTGGCGGATTGCATGCTTACCATGAGGCAGTCATTCGCCCCATGGTAGAAATGCCAGCATTTAACCGCCAGCTTCCAGCTCTGAGTCCGGTTACCAGGATCTGACTTGACTTGCTCCTGGAGCTACAGGCTCTTGATTTTAAAATACTTCATGGGGGCTTTACCCCATTCCTGGCTCAAGCGCCATGCTAACAATGTTCTGTGAGCCGGACAGACAGGTTCTTGTCACCACTTCGCCCTCAGAGACACTACACTGGTGCTGTGTCATTCCTAGTGTGCCAGCACTGCCTGTGCTGCCTGTACCTAGCGAGGCACTCCTGGGACTGTCCCTGTGGGAGCAGGAAGTCTGTCTTCAAACACCGAGGGCCCTTAGGAGCCTCCCTCCTTGAAACTTCAACGTGATAACTCCTTTACTTAGCAAATACTGTGTGTGAACTGGGAGTCCTGAGGCCAGGGAAGCAGATGAATGAGACACAGGCCTGAGCTCTCTTGTGCGAGGGCAGACCCTGCATGGCTGGTGGTGTGGGCGGCCTCCGATGGTACATGACATTGTCCAGAGCGCAGTGTCATGGGTATTGTTTAAGAGGGAAGGACTTATTTTAGGTTTAGGATAAGTGAGTTGTCTTGAAGAAAAATACTTAAAATTTTAATACAGGTAATATTTTGGTATGAAATATTGTAAAGGAGAACCCTGACTCAGAGAGACTAACTAACAAAAACAGGATGAATTGATTGGTTCAGACCTCAAGGACTTTGTTGTTAAAAATAAGCTTTAGCCTAACTTTCAATGGAGTCCAAATTAGGAGGCCAATGCCTTATCCATTAGGCGACGGGGGCTTCTAATGGAGTCCAAATTAATTAGACTTTATTAAAAGTCCGTTGTAATAGGCAGTGATTTTCATATAGGAGCATTGCCTGAAGAACTATTTTGTTTGACTGAAAAGATGCATTTTCTAGAATATTCATTGCAACAGGGTAGTGAAATTGGAAATGACATTAATGTCTAACAGTAGGAAATTGGTTATATACATCAATATAGGAGAATAGTATGCGGCCATTACTAATGACCTAAGTGTATACATTGACATTCACAGTATCTAGATAACTGGGGGAAAGTGAGATTAAAGAGCCAGTACGGAAAAGCCCTAAAGGAAGTGCTGACATAGTAACAATGGTTATCTTGTTAACAGCTGTGATTTCACTATAATTTTTTTTACCTCCCTTATGTTCTAATTATCAAATGAACATTTTTAAAAATATATATTTTTATTGATTTCAGAGAGGAAGGGGGAGAGAGAGAGAGAGAGAGAGAGGGAGGGAGGGAGGGAGGGAGGGAGGGAGGGAGAGAGAGAGAGAGAGAGAGAGAGAGAGAGAGAGAGAGAGAGAGACACACATCAATGATGAGAGTCATTGATTTCTTCCTCCTGCACTCCCCACACTGGGGATCGAGCCCACAACCTGGGCATGTGCCCTGACTGGTAATGGAATTGTGACCTCCTGGTTCATAGGTCAACACTCAACCATCGGACTCAACAGGTTGGGCTCTTTTTTCAGATAAAGAAAACATAACTTTCACATTTCGCTTGTGTAGAGAATGGTACGGCTTTCTGACCTGTTGTGGTTTCTCTTCTTACAGGTGCGGGGGCACGGTTGGTGCTATTTTCACTTGTCCACTCGAAGTCATTAAGACAAGGCTGCAGTCTTCGAAGTTAGCGCTGCGGACAGTCTATTACCCTCAGGTTCACCTGGGGGCCATTGATGGCGCTGGAGTGGTGAGACCAACGTCGGTGACGCCTGGACTTCTCCAGGTTCTGAAGTAAGTTCAGCCCCAGCCTGGACTCCTGCCACCCCCCTGCCCCACTGTCAACACCGAATATTTACTAAGCCCATCAGATGGACATCCTGTTTGCACAGCCTGATTCCAAACCTAAGAATTAGGTTTCTGTACCAATCAATACCTTTGAACTCTGACCTTGCTCCCTTGGCAGCAGGGCACCCAGTGTGCATGCGGTCACCATCCAGGGACAGTTAAAGCAAACTTAACAAAGCAAACTAAAAAGTCATGTTCAAATTGTTGCATCACAGTGTTTTTGCTCAAAATCTGAGAGCTAGCAGGAAGCTATGGCGTGATACAATGAAATTAAAACTTAAATTTCATAAGAGAAAGGTTTTGAATATTTTAAGGGGAAGTAATAGGGAAACAATGTTTTAATTTTTTACTTTTTATTTGGAAATACTTTTATACTTATAGAAAAGTTTCAATAGCTACTTAGCTACTTAGTAAAATGGTTTTTTAAATGTTTGTTTCACCCTAGTTGGTTTGGCTCAGTGGATAGAGCGTCGGCCTGTGGACTGTAGGGTCCCAGGTTCGATTCCAGTCAAGGGCACGTGCCTGAGTTTCAGGCTCCATCCTCAGTAGAGTGTGTACAGGAGGCAGCCGATCAGTGATTCTCATCACTGATGTTTCTATCTCCCTCTCTCCCTCTCCCTTCCTCACTGAAATCAATATAAACATTTTTTTTTAAATTTTTGTTTCAGACATAGACTACTTGTCTAATTTATTATTTTTACTGCATTAAAAATATTTCATTTGCTTATGAAATAGCAAGTGTTCATAAGTTGAATTTGACTTGTTGGTATCTATACTTAGAATCTGAAATCAAGACTTCATATGGCATCTGAATGTCACCTTGGGCCTGTGCTTTAGAAAGATGCCCACTCCTGGCCAGTGTGGCTCACTTCGTTGGGCATTGTCCTGTGCACCAAAAGGTTGCTGGTACCATTCCCAGTCAGGGCACATGCGTAGGGTACGGGCTTGGTCCCCAGGAGGGGGCTGTGCAGGAGGCTGCTAACTGATGTTCCACTCTCACATTGATGTTTCTCTTTCTTCCTTCCCCTCCCTGTAAAAATCAGTAAAGGTTTTTTGTTTTTAAAAAAAGGTGTTAAGTAAATGGTAGTTGAATCTCACTACACCTGGTATCTGAGGCTTACCACGGGAGAGGGTGAGTCCAAGAAAGACACTGCCATTATCCGTGTGGTCGTTCACCGGGAAGTGTTAGGGGAAGATGCAGCGAAGGGGAAGTGCTCTGTCCGAACAGCCTCCACCCGAGCACTCTGGCCAGCCTCCGCCCCGTGGAGATAAGGAGGACCCGTGGGGAGGCACTGGACTTATTTTTAGGTGCGTTTGTTTGTAAAGCCTGTCTGCAAGGCACACAGCCTCCATGCCAAACATGGGTGAGCTCACCCAAGCCTATCGAGCAGAACTGAACGCCAGACCAGCTGCTCAGGGCAAGGTCCCAAGTGAAGAACCAGAAGCCCAATACCCAGCACCCCAGCACCCACTTTTCAGATTAAACCCCGAGGAGGAGTGCAGCAGGGTGGGGAAGGGCCCAGGAGGCAGGGATGGGGACGCTGATGGGAGGCCCCTCTGACCTCAGGAAGGAGAGGGGCAGCCCACGTCCTGCAGAAGACACGGCTGTGAAAGCATCCTCTCCTGTTTGTCTTTTTACACGTGTGGGCAGGCAGTCTCACACGGCACCTCCTGGGGAACATACAGCGCTTTGGGCAAAAGGAAAGACAGGTCATTTGCCAGCTTGACTAACATCCTCCACGAACTTCCTCTTGCCTGCTTGCAATAACTCATGACTAGCGGGTTTGTAGGCTTACTGTACCTGGGACACTGTTACCCAAAAGTTGTGGGTGTCCTCAAGCCAGGCCTGTCGGTAAGAAAAAGTGAGGCTTTCTGTAACTCAGGTTTTTGCTTGTACATCGCTGGTGTCTATCTAGCTCCAACAAGTCAATCTCTGTCTGTCTGTCCATTTATTGTCTCTCCCCAGTTAGGACCATTGTTTACTAAAATAAATAAAATTTTCAAAGCTTCCTGTTTTTTGAAGTCCAAGAACAGTGCACAGCCCACTGCACGGCCACCACTTCCCAGCAGCCATTGGTTATAGCAGCCACGGCTACACAGTAACAGACACCACTTACACATGAATACTTTCGAAGCCATTTATTCTGTGTCCACATGGAAATAGAAGTAATGTTATGATAGTTTGTTAAGGGCTTGTAAAGTGGCATTTTTTTAATCCAAAAGCTATTAAAGCTTTATCGGCTTGATCTATGTACATTATTAAGAGTCTCAGCTGATATTTAATAGCTTTCTATTTAAAATTGCCACTTTTGCCGGGACCGGTTTGGCTCAATGGATGGAGCGTCAGCTTGGGGACTGAAGGGTCCCGGGTTCGATTCCGGTCAGGGGCATGTACCTTAGTTGCGGCCATATCCCCAGTAGGGGGTGTGCAAGAGGCAGCTGATCGATGGCTCTCTCTCATCGATGTTTCTGGCTCTCTATCTCTCTCCCTTCCTCTCTGTACAAAATCAATAAAATATATTAAAAAAAAAAAAGAAGTAATATCTAAAAAAATAATAATAAAATAAAATAAAATTGCCACTTTTATGTAATAGTATTTTATTGATTTTTCACCCAGCCCTATGAGAAGAGCACTTGGGTGGGATATCGTCCCATTTTATAGATGAGGAAACATAAATTGGAGTTATACAACTTACTCAAGGGCCTTTTTCTTTTTTAATATATTTTTATTGATTTCAAAGAGGAAGGGAGAGGGAGAGAGAGAGAAACATGAATGATGAGTGAGTCATTAACTGGCTTCCTCCTGCATGCCCTACACGGGGTCGAGCCCACAACCAGGACCAGGAATCGAACCCTGACCTCCTGGTTCATAAGTCAACAAGACACTCAACCACTGAGCCACACCGACTGGGCTCAAGGCCATTTTTAATGTATATTCACCTATTTCAAAGAAGACTTGAAAGCAGTAAATAATCCCAATTACCCTAGTGGGGCTTGGCTTCTAGAGCCCAAGGTCCACTCTGGGACAACCTCTTTATCTTTCCTCCCCCTCTCCCCCCTTCCCCCAACGCGGGCAGGGCTCAGACCCGGCCTCTCGGCTGCAGTCCTGCTGCCTGTTTGACAGCTCCTCCTGGGCAACCAAAGCAGAACTTGTGCAAAACTGAGCTCCCAACTCTGCCACACCCGGAGTCTCGAGGTAACTCTGGCTTCCCGCTCCACGACTGAACGCCTCAGTCATCCTTGGATCTTACTTCTCACACCCACAGCCGGTTCTGTCCCCTCTGCCTTCAGATACGCACAGCATCTGACCCTTGCCCCTGCTTGTCAGCACCCCCACCTGATGGAAGCCACCAGGTCTCCCGTTTACACATGAGCTCCTCACTGGTCTGGCCTGAGGCCTGCTCCCCTCCCATCCTCGGGCTGTTCTCAACCCAGATCCTCGCTCAGATCCCTCCAGGGACTACCTGTCTTCTGTCCCTGCGGCCTCCGCACAGCTGCCACCTCCCATTACCTCCCTGAAGTTTCTCCTCCTACACCCTTCAGCTGCTCCTTTAAAAGGCCAGGAACATTGGCCTTCTGCCTCAGGGCCTTGGTGCCTGACCTTATCTGCAAGGCCGGCTCCCGGCTCCCGGCTGTCACCCTAGCAGGAGGGCCTTGCAGTGACTGCTGTTTAACACCGAGCCTCCCTCATGCTGCATCCTCCTTCCTGCCTTGTTTTTATCCCGGCACTTACCTCCACCCAACGCAGAGTGTAGCTTACTTGTTAGTATTGTTTATTTTCTCTCCCCACCAGAATGGAAGTTCCTCTGTGGCAGGGACTTTGATTTGTTATGGTGACGGAGGTGTCCTCAACCCCTACAATGCTGCCTGTCACACAGTAAGCATTTAGTACAAATAGAAGGAATGAATGCATTTGGCACAACAGTAAAATGTCACATGCAAAGAAAGAGCTCAACAAGTGCCGAAACCGGTTTGGCTCAGTGGATAGAGCATTGGTCTGTGGTCCAAAAGGTCCCAGGTTCGATTCCGATCAAGGGCATGTACCTTGGTTGCGGGCACATCCCCAGTAGGGAGTGTGCAGGAGGCAGCTGATCAATGTCTTTCTCTCATCGATGTTTCTAGCTCTCTATCTCTCTCCCTTCCTCTCTGTAAAAAATCAATAAAATATATATTTTTTTAAAAAGAGCTCAACATGTAAATAAATATTGGTGGCTTTTGTAATATCCACTTCCTGTACTTTTTAAATACAAGGTTTATAACTTGAGTTTCTTGGTGGCCAAAGCAAAAAAGGGGACGATTACATCACACAATTCTCTCCCTCAGAAAGCACACTCATTCCAGGGGAAATGGCGTCTTCCTGCTGCTGAGTCCCAGCTGTGGTCTGTCCCCCCACGGCCTGGCAGGCTGCCAGCAGGGCCGCACTGTCTCTCGGGCGCCAGCTGAAGGGCGCTGCTTGGCACTCTGCCACCGCCTGGTTGCAGCCGTCTCTTCTAGCAGGGGTAGAGGTGATGATTAGGTTGCTGCTTCTTAGTCTTACTCTTTCAGGAAGTACTACTTTAAAAGGCTTAACTGAATTTGTTTGCAGGAAGTTTATTTTTCAAAATGCAAATCAGTGTTTGTGTCCCAGGGTAACCCGCTAGAGAATACATGTTCCCCATTGCAGCACCATTAACCTTTACATGTTGAAGATTGTTACCTAAAAAGGCTCCCACTGTTAAACTCCCCAAAGGGGAATAATATATCAATGCGTTTCATGTGTCTGTTTTTAAAGTCTTATGACTTAATCTGTGTGTGTGTGTGTGTGTGTGTGTTTAATATATTTTATTGATTTTGTACAGAGAGGAAGGGAGAGAGAGAGAGAGTTAGAAACATCGATGAGAGAGTCATCAATCAGCTGTCTCTTGCACACCCCCTACTGGGGATATGCCCGCAACCAAGGTACATGCCCTTGACCGGAATCGAACCCGGGACCTTTCAGTCCCCAAGCTGACACTCTATCCATTGAGCCAAACCGGTTTTGGCTGTGTGTGTTTTTAAAGTATATTTTTTTATTGATTTCAGAGAGAGAGAGAAACACCAATGATGAGAGAATCACTAATCAGCTGCGTCCTGCATCTCCTGCATGCCCCACACTGGGGATCAAGCCCACAACCCGGGCATGTGCCCTGAACGGAACTGAACCTTGACCTGGTTCATGAGTTGATGCTCAACCACTGAGCCATGTGGCCAGGCTTTTTATTATTATTATTATTTTTAATTATTTTTTTTAATCAAAGCTATTTTTTACATCACTCAGGTAATTTTTACTCAGGTGTCTTTTTGATCTGAAAAGTAATATATTAGTGATGTGGTCTATGTTATAAAATAACTGAGTGTTCAGGTGCAATCGTGGTCTACAGCTAGTGAAGATGAAATGCTCCAAATAAGGCCCCGTTCTCCTTGCATTTCTTGCCTGAATGACAGTTTCTGTGACTGTGGGAAAAATCGGCCTGGATCCTGCTGCTTTATTTTGAGGCTGGAGTGTACCATTTATAGCAGGCACTTGATTGTTCCGGAGAGTTTTGTACACAGCCAGCAAGGTTAGAAGTTTGAATTATGTAACAGGTTTGACTTCTTGCCCACTGTTAATGTGCGTCACTATGGCGACAGCCTGCCAGTTCTGAAGGAGCCTGGTCACTTGAGGACTGGTGTTCCTGCTGCATTATAGATGCGGGGCGCGGGCTTCCTGGAGCCAGAGAGTCCGGGAGTCGTGCTTAAGTGACCCCTGGGCTGGCCGCACAGTGCTCACTAATGGGAACCACGGCTAGGATCTGAACTGGGAACATTTGTATGTACTGACCATTTGACAGTCTTACATGCTACAAGGTGTAGGTCACTTGCAGGAGTTATTTAAGAAAAGCTTCTGTTCAGAGAGCTTAGCTTTTTAAATCAGGCCTGTTGTAAGAAAGATAGAAGTCAAGTATTTAGAGTTGAAAAACCAAAATTCTCATGCCTCTGCTAAGGGCCAGATGACTTGTTTTTGGTTAGTGTGAATTTGGGGTTTGATTTACAGAACCTAACAGTTGCCTGTCCCAGCCCTTGTTACCATAACATTGGGCTATAATCATGAGTTCAATATTTTTACAACCTATGGCTTGCCTATAACTTATCTTTATTAAAGATTTTTTTTTTCTGAAATAATTTCAAATGTGTAGAAACGTTACAGGTACCAATAACTTATTTTTAACATATCGCCACATTTGTGTTGTCATTATGTTCTATATATCGATACATCCATATTTTTCATTTGAACATAGGTTCCACACATTGTACTCCCTTTCCCTTAATCCTTCAGCATTTATTTCCTAAGAATAAATATATTATCTTAAAACCACAGCAGTTTTCATGTGTTTGCCTCCTGCGTGAACAGGAAAAGAGCTTCTTATCAATACAAACATGTCAGACTGATGCTTACGAATTGCGGATTTTCATTGTAGCCGTGTTCTTCAGCCTTTCCATTCTGTGTTGTAATATAATCAGATAAAACCTGGGGTCTGGTAAACAATCTAGTAATATTTTTATTTTTTAATATTCCTATTGATTTTAGAGACGAAGGGAGGAGAGAGAGAGAAACATCAATGATGAGAGAGAATCATTGATCGGCTGCCTCCTGCACACCCCCCACTGGGGATCAAGCCTGCAACTCGGGCCTGTGCCCTGACTGGGAATGGAACTATGACCTCTTGGTCCATAGGTCAAAGCTCAACCATTGAGCCACACGGCTGTGCAACAACTTATTATTTATTTAAGGCACTAGTGGAAGGCTGACGCTTGCTTTGCATAGATCTTTCCTAAGGATTTTAAAGATGGATCTTCTTTGTATTATTCAGGTCAATCTTGGAGAAGGAGGGACCAAAGTCACTTTTCAGAGGCTTGGGTCCAAATTTGGTTGGAGTTGCACCGTCAAGGTAAGCTTTGAGCTTTCACCTGGTTCCCCTCATGCGGATGTAATATCCCGAGTCCTTTCTCTCGGAAGGGCCGTACTGCCAGGTGGCCAGCCTCTCCTGTGCAGGATTTGCCTAAACACACCTGACAAATGGGAGAGTGGAAACTGTAAGAGTGTCTTCAGTGCATGGTGAGGAGGAGATTCCAGTTACTTTACCGAGTTGAAAACGAGCTGCTCTCACCCCTGAATTTCTCTCGGTGTTTGTGATCAGCAGCATCGCCCCCTCCCCCAGTCACACGCTCATTTTGTGTGAGGCAGGACGAGTGTGGATATTTCAGAAATACTACACATTTTAAAGGTTACAGTATTTGTTGGTGCTTCGGATCGGCATTTATCCAGAATTAAAAATATAAATGAGCTTTGTATGTTACCAAAATCTCATTTTTTCTCCGTTATTTTGGACTCTTCCCTCCACCGAGTACTTTCTGAGGGGTGAGCAGAACCTTCTGGAAGGAGCGGGCAGCAGGTTTGGCTTTGACACAGATGAGGCCGAGCTTTTGTTACATGTTAACTCCTTGCCCATCTTATTTACCTGAAGCTTTAGCGGTTGTGGAGGGACATTGTCTTGGCAGTGCCATACCCATGTCTTCACCTCGTTCTCCCTTTGTCCTAACAGGGCTGTGTACTTTGCATGCTACTCCAAAGCCAAAGAGCAGTTCAATGGCATTTTCGTGCCTAACAGCAATATTGTACACATTTTCTCAGCTGGCTCTGCAGGTACGTTCCGTGTGGGTGGAGAAAGCATGTGCTGTGCCCACAGCCTTTTCTAGGATTAGAAACTAGCTCTCTGCCTCTTCTCCATAGGAAATCACTTTCCTAACGCTTTATGTCAGAGCTGATACGATAATGGGTTTAAGGTCAGTTTGTTACCTGGTTCCTCTCTCTGGCCACTGAAGCTGTTCATTCTGCCTCAACATGTCCATGTCCATGCATGCTAGTTGGGTGCAGTGCTTTTCATGTCTACTCTATGACATTGTTTCTAAAGTTCAAGCTCCTTTTCTCATACGCCTGTGCACAGCTGGCACTTTGTCCTAATCACTGGGTACTAGGGTCTGGGCTGGTGGGCTTTTAGTGGGACCGGAGCAAGCCAGAGAGCGTCCCTCATGGGAGAGTCATCCTACTCACTGTAGAAAACTTATAACAGGATTTCCCCCAGACATGCTTGGCAAAAAAAGCATGGACTCAGATTGCTGAGAGAAGGTCATGCCTTACAGATTATGTTTATGTCTGTTTAGCTAGAAAGGTATTTTAGAGAATTTAAATTGGCATTTTATAAAGAATTTCTGCCTCTGCCAGCCTGTAAGTGTATACACCTCTTTACATCAAATAAAGCACCAGTAACCCCGGAGTAGCCACAGATGATGCTCTGGGCCCCATAGGAGCTAATGTTAAACAGGAAAGGCGTGTGTGCCGAGTGCGAGCTCCGAGGAGCCTTCGCTTTGAGACCGATAGGGGTGAGCCGCAATCAGACGCTGGTTGCCAGGCTTGCCTTGGGCAGCGTTCGTTTAGAAGAGCCCTCAGTACCTAAGGCAAACCTGCCACAGCCTCTCAGCCTCGCCCTGGTCCTCTCTCTGACGGCTGTGCCCGGGACCGGGGAGGGCACGGAGGGTCACTGAGTCAGGCTGAGGCCTGACTCTGCTTTGCTCTGTTGCCATGGAATGATTAGCAGAGTTGAGACGGGAGACTCACCAACAAATGGTTCTTGCAAGCAGATCAGTATTAAAACTTCCATTTCCTGAAACATTAGTGGGTATTAAATGTCTGTCTTTGAATTCAGTTAAATGGAGATTTAGTACCTTTTATTTTAAGTTTGATATAAGGCAGCCTTTTGGACTAAGACAGCAACTTCCCTTAAAAACAAATTATTTCTGGATCTGATGCTTATAAATTGAGTTGTAGAGTGGTTTCATGTTTCCCATGGGCATCACATTGACAGAAATACCAACAGCACCACCTAGAGGCTGGAAACCTAGTCAGATTTAGGTCCAACAACACACCAGTAGGAGCTACACTTCAGGGACTGGAGCGGCCTGTGCCGTTCAGAAAGCAGCTGCTTCCTGCTGTCCGTTTTTATTACTGAGCCACTGAGAGCCTGGGGTAGCACTTACCAGATGGACCAGACAGCTTCAGTCAGCATTGGCTGTGTTCAGTGATGACATTTTCTGGTGTTTTTTCTTCCAGCTTTTATCACAAATTCCCTAATGAATCCTATATGGATGGTTAAAACCCGGATGCAGCTAGAACGGAAGTAAGTTATTAATTGTTACTTCCTTAACATAAGAATTCTTGGGGATATTTCTCCTCTCCCCACGCCCCCCGTGGAGTGCAGCACAGTCTCGTTCTTTCTGAATGTGAGCAGACAGTAGCTCCTTTTGCTTGGAGAATCAGTCGTGCTGTCTATATTGTGGGACAAAGACCACAAGAGGTGGCCGCAGTTTCGCTCAGCTGTGGCCCTGGTGTGCAGTGCTGAGCTCCGCAGACCGTCGGGGGTCCCTGCGCTTGGTGGGCCCCACCCCAGTTGCAGCGCTAGCGACTCTCCCCAGATGCTTCTCTTCCAGACGGGAGATGCCTGACAGCACATGTGTCAAACACAAGGCCCGCGGGCCAAATCCGTCCCACCAGGCCTTGCAATGTGGCCCGCACCACGCTGTCATCACTGCACTCCGCTGCGTTTCCATCACAATGACAGTTTATGACTGTTCAGTAAACCATTCGGCCCGCGATTTAGGCTGGATTTTAGATTTTGGCCCCTTCTCTGATTGAGTTTGACACCCCTACTTATAGTGAAGGAGAGCAGCGAGTGCTCCAGGCCTGGAAGGGCCGTTTTCTCTCCGCGGCCCTCGTGCTCTGGTTTCCGCCTGAAACTCACGGCAGCCTCAGGTTCCTCTGGTGGCCGGTGAAGTCTCAGCCCTTTTAGAATAGTTGAAACAATGGAAACCAGTTGCTGAAATACAGTTACTATTGTTTTTAAAGTTACGATACAGTAATATACCTACTTAATATATTAAATCAGGTCGTGGCCCAGTAACTACTGTAATTTCAGAGGCAGAGTGATGCTCAGTGAGGTTTGTGACAGGATTCTCTCTAGAACCCTGTGTGACTGTGTGGGCTCTGGAAACTTCCAGCCAATCAGTAAGCTACCTAGAAAGGACGGCGGAGAGAGCAGGAGCCCTGCACGTGCTGGTAGGGGTGTGGCTTGTTCTTCTTCTCCAGTGACCTCAGTAGCCTCTGTATTGGCATTTGGCCTCATATTTTCCCGTCCTGTTCTGCCTGAAAGAACCTAAAAGGCAGCAGTTCTAATAATTGTGAACATATCATTTGCTTAGAATCCTTTGATGAATCTCGATTACGCTCAGGGTTAAACCCTAACTCTTTGGCTTACCACTCAAGGCCCTTTGCAATTTCCTAAAAAACATGTGCTGTTGGTATCCAGCCCTGAGTGGACCATCCCTCAGCAGGAGTCATTGCTCCCTCCGGCTTGCCTTCCAGCTCCTCACCAGCTCCTCTCCCGGGAACCTTCGGGAATTGCTCCCAATCCCAGGGTGCGGGGTGCTAGTCCCTCAGCGGTGATGAGTGCTCGAGTCAGAGGGCAGAGAGCCGTGTCCGGGCACAGCGGAGGCAGGAACTCCGAGCACTCTGGGAAAGGGGAGAAGAGAAGCGTGGTCAGAGTGCCCCATGCGAATGTGCGGGAGCAGGAGGCGACATGGAAAGAGAAGCCTGGGAAGCAGGCAGGGCCACGGCCTTAGCCCCTGGGAAGGAGTCTGGGCGCTCTTTGGAGAGCCATTGGGGCACTTGCTGGTAGCCCCAGCATTTGCCCCAGGGGACATTTGGTGGCGCCTAGAGACCTTTTTAGTTGTCAAGCTCAGGGGGGTGCTGAGACACATGGTGGGTAGAGGCTACTGCTCCAGGGCCAAGGACAGCCCCACAACAGAAGGATCTGGCCCGGATGTCAGTGGTCCCAGGCTGAGAAGCCCTGCCTGCAGAGGGGCAAGCAGCGCGCGGCCGGTTGGATTTGTGTTAGGAAGGTCACCTTGCTCAGGTCGAGAACAGCCTGGCGAGATGCGGGGGGTGTCCATGGAGAGTGATGGAGCCGGACGGTCTCTGTCTGACCAGTGCGCACTCGGGTCCAGGACTCGGCTTGTATCCACCACGGAGGACGCCCGGCCCAAGTCTGTGTGTGGGCTGTTGGACGGTTGTGGTTTGGGCATTTAGAAGTAATGGAGTTAGTGCCCGTTTGGAGAAGAGAGATGAGAGAGCACCCTTACGCTCTCCTCCCTGCCCACGGCCGGCCGGTTCTCCTTCAGTGTCTTAACACACATTGGCATTGTCACCTGCCAGCTAGTCCGCCTTCACGCCCAGCACGGCCCGCCCCATGCCCAGCAGCAGTTCTGGTCTGGCACGGTGCCCAGTGCACCTCTCTGTGCCTCTTAGGTGTCGGATGAAGTGATCGAGTTGGTTAGATTTCTCTGTGAGGAATGTCTTCCTCCTCACAGCTCTTTTCACACGTTCTCCGTGGGCCAGGCACAGCTGCCCCCTGTGGGGGAGGACATGTGTCCTCCACTGATTCCTCCCCTCCGGCCAGGGTCTGGAGCCCTCACACAGCGCGTGCTGACGCCTGTCCTCGGTCTCTGTCCAGGGTGCGCGGCTGTAAGCAGATGAACACGCTCCAGTGTGCGCGCCACGTCTACCAGACGGAAGGCGTTCGCGGCTTCTACCGGGGATTAACGGCCTCGTACGCGGGGATCTCAGAAACTGTCATCTGCTTCGCTATTTATGAAAGCCTGAAGAAGTACCTGAAGGACGCCCCGTTCACCCCCGCTGCAAACGGGACTGAGAAGAATTCCGCAAGCTTTTTTGGACTTATGGCAGCTGCTGCTGTGTCGAAGGGCTGTGCCTCTTGCATCGCCTATCCACACGGTATGTGCCCCTCTTTTCGGTGTACCCGGACCCGGAGCCCACTGAAATCACGTGTCTGCAGGCGGTGACTGCCCCCACGCTCCTGTGTGTGTGGGGGCGGGGGGATTGCAGGAACTCAACCCCAGTTCCCAAAACTTGCTGTGCAGAACGTGGGCCTGTGTTGTAGAACTTCTGATGTTTTCAAGAAGCCAAAATCTGGATTTTACTTAAAATTCTTTAACTTAAAAAAAAATTGACATAGGAGCCAAACTTAACATCTCTCAGCTTCCACTTTGAATTTTATTTTCCACTTAAAGTTTACTTTTTTAAGTTTATTTATTTAAAATATATTTTTTTGATTTCAGAGAGGAAAGGAGAGAAGAGGAAAAATAGAAACATCAATGATGAGAGAGAATCATTGATTGGCTGCCTCATACTAGGAACTGAGCCTGCAATCCAGGCACGTGCCTTTGACCGGAATTGAACCGGGGACCCTTCAGTCCACAGGCAGATGCTGTATCCATTGACCAAATCAGCTAGGCTTTTAAGTTTAGTTTTAAAAAGAATGATAGGCCTCCTGTCCTCCTGAGCTACTGTTAAAATAATAGCTTTGTTTATTGTGCCATGAAAAACAAGCCTTACCCCCTAGCAATGGGCAAGGAGACACCTGATTAGTGGTGGCGTTCTTTTATCCATCGGGGGCAAAGCAGATACACAGCCTTAGTTCATCCTAGCTTGATGCCTGTCTTGGTTTCATGCCTGAGGCACATTAAAAAAAAAAAAGAAGGGAGGGAGGGAGGGAGGGAAGGAGGGAGGGAAGGAAGGAGGGAGGGAGGGAGGGAAGGAAGGAAGGAAGGAAGAAAGAAAGAAGGAAAGAAAAACAAGCCCTGTTTTCAGAAGCCTACTGTGCTGTCAGCTGTGGCCATGGTGAACTCAGTAACAGGTGACGGAATCCCAGTGTGAGCCTGACACTGCGTGGCCTCAGGGCTCATGAAGAGAGGCTGACGGCTCCCTGGTAGAGAGACAGGGTGGCAGAGGTCTGCTCAGCAGGCAGTGACAGGCAATGTCATGTTGTGGGCACCTCGGTGAGACCGGGCCAGGTAGACCAAGGTTTGGAAAAGGAGGAGGCAGTGTTTGAGCAGGACAGAGTGGAGGAGGATTCTGGGAGGAGAAAGTTGGGGAGTACATGAAAAGAAAGTCTTGTAGAAGATACTACCATGCTTAATGCAAAGGCCGCTTTTGGTGAAGTTACAGCATTTACTTAATTGGAGTAGAAAACCATAAACTATCTTAAAATCAAGTCCCACTCACTGAGCTTTTTTTTTTAAAGAGAGTGGGGGAAGGGAGGAGAGAGAGAAAGAAAGAAACGTCAGTTTGTTCCACTTATTTATGATTCATTGGTTGCTTCCTGTATGTGTCCAGACGGGGATCAAGCCCACAACCTTGGCATAGCATGACGACACTCTACCCAACTGAGCTACCCGGCCAGGGCATGTATTGAGGTCTTCACGTAGTTTGTCATTTTAGGTGGCACGTGGGCAGACGTATACGTTGATAATTATAAGGCTGTGTGCTTTGAATGCTCCTCGTATTACCTGGAAATGAATTTGTTTGTCACAAAAGCTGTGTTTCTCTCCGCAGAAGTGATAAGGACGCGGCTGCGGGAGGAAGGCACCAAGTACAAGTCCTTTGTCCAGACCGCTCGGCTGGTCCTCCGGGAAGAGGGCTACCTCGCCTTCTATCGAGGACTCTTTGCCCAGCTCATCCGGCAGATCCCCAACACGGCCATTGTGCTGTCCACCTATGAGCTGATTGTGTACCTATTGGAAGACAGTCCTCAGTGACAGGCCGAACATTGTGCACCGGAAGAATAAAACTGCAAAACTCGATAAAGATTTTTTTTTCCCATTGATGTTTAGAAAGTACGAGGCCGATACAGGAAAGGCCATAAAATATGTGGCTCGGTCACCTGTTGGACATTTCCTTTTGGATCCATGTTTTCTGGAAGGTTGAAATTCATTAACGTTAATAGTTAATTTTAACTTTTGTTGTGTTTTTTTTTTTTTTTTAATTTAAGAGGATTCAGGATTCAGCAGCAAGTAAATTAAATCATGCTATTTAATTTAAGTATAAATTTGGTTTTTGTCCTCTTTCACTTCACGGTACTGTAAACTATAGGCTGGTAACACTAGAAACTCAGAGACAACCTCAAAAGTCAAAGAGCACGGTTTCTCAGCGGGAGGTCACATCTCGCACGGGGCTGGTAGGGGATGGGTGACATGTCGGTGACACTGGGCTGACCAGAATTGATTGCCCAACTGTTTTCCTCTTTATACATTCCCAAGTCTCATACTGACACTCCCACGTTCTCAGGCTGCTGAGTTTTAAAAAACAACTTTCTGACATTAAATATTTAAAATTATATTTATTTTCCTAAAGTTACCCATTATCCCCAGTTTGAACCAAAGAACTGTTTCCCAGTGGCCTCGCTTCTGCATGTATTTCCAGAAGCCAGGACCTGGCAAGCCCAGGTACACTGCAGGCAGTTGGAGAGCGGCTGGCCATGAGTGTGGAATGTGGGAGGGACGCAGGCAGTCCCTGAGGGTGTGAGCCGTTCTTGTCCCGCTGCTGGGACCAAGGTTGATTGCAGCTCCTTGAAGAGTAGCTCACTTTTACTGTGCCGGAAGTGGTGGTGGTGCTTAAATACCCTAGTTCAAAAAAATATTTTTTAAATGGAGAAATGAGAAGTCACCAGGATGATAAGCCCATCCTCCCATCTTACAAGGAAGATTAATAAGGAACAACATGCTAGGGCAGAGTCAGGGCAGAGGGATTGTCTCCGTTAGCGCTCTCACTGGACTTGGCACGTGTGGACATTGGGTTCATTTTCAGCCTGAATGTCTAGGAAGACAGGACGCTAATAACCGGTGCATGGAGTTTCCTATTCAGGGCAGACGTTCTGGTAGGGACGAGGGGCGGAGGTTTCTAATTGTATTTAAGTTGAGTTTATTTTGTTCCCTTGGGTCGTGAAGCAAGTTTGTCGGTGGTGGTGAACTCCCTGGTATAATTCGCTTCAACTGTTAGCAACTAGGCATGTTTCGTGCTTCCAAAATGCATGGCAGTAAAGAGATTCCTATTTCAGAACCTTGCTTTAACTGTTTGTAATAGTGGCACTTACCAATGTCTTTGTTCGAATATTCATATTAAAGCCTGAATTTTTCCTCAAGATTTTAATATGAACATTAAAAATTAGGTTGCTTAATATTCACTAAATTAGGTAAGAGAATCATTTCAAAATAATTTCCACTGACGTTCTTGAATTAATAAAGTTGATGTAAACCTAGTACAAGTTAGTTTTCTGCTTGCTTCTCCTGCCCTAGGCACTGAAAGGCAAGAAACTCGGCCCCAAAGGTAGGATGAGAATAGGCAGGAAAAAGGGATGCTTGTTGGATTTTTATCTTAATTATCTTTTTTTTAATGTGTTTTTATTGATTTCAGAAGAGAAGGAAAGAGAAATATCAATGATGAGAGGGAATCATTGATCTCCTGCACGCCCTACACTCGGGATCAAGCCCACAAAGCAGGCATGTGCCCTGACCGGAAATCGAACCATGACGTCCAGGTTTATAGGTGGGCACTGAGCCATGCCAGCTGGGCAGTTTATCTTTTTACCCTCACCCAATGAGTACGGATGTTTTCTCCATTGATCTTTCAGAGAGATTGGAAGGGAGGGGAGGGGAAAGAGAGAGGGGAAAACATCCATGTGAGAGAGAGACATAGATTGGTTAGCTCCCGAACACACCCAAGGGGAAGGATTAACCTGCAACCCAGGCAGGTACTTGCTCCTGACTGCCCCTGATGGGGGAATCAAACCCTTGACCCTATGGTATGCAGGCCAACACTCCAACCACTGAGCCAAACTGGTCAGAGCTGGATTTTTTAAAAGTAATTTTTATTGATTTCAGAGAAGCAGGGAGAGAAGGAAACATCAGTGATGAGAGAGAATCATTGACCAGCTGTCTCCTGCACACCCCCCACTGGGGACTGAGCCTGCAACCCAGGCATGTGCTCTGACTGGGAATCGAATTGTGATCTGGTTCATAGACCAACGCTCAGCCACAGCCACACCAGCCGGGCCAGGGCTGAATTTTTAAACGGAAAATGTCACTGAACTGTTAATGGAGAAATCCCTTGATTTATTTCTTATCTACGAGCTTAGTCATTAGGATTTTATTATTTTTAAGTAATCTATAATAATAAAAGCATAATACACAAATCAATCGAACAGCTGAACAGCAGAATGACCTTGACAAAGCCGGGGCTGCAAGGATCTACTCTTGCACGAATTTCATGCATCGAGCCTCTAGTCCTATCTAATAAAGAGGGAATATGCCAATTGACCACCACACCCTCACAAAGATGGCAGTGCCCAGTCCCCTCAGCCCCACCAGGGCAGCAGGTGCAGCACAACCTGGGCCCACCCTCAGACGGGTCTGGCCACTCCATACACCTGCCTCCAGAGTCCCCCACTCCCCCCTGGTCAGCCCCCTAGCCACCCAGGGCCAGCCGAGGCTTATCGTCCACATTTTACAAATAAGGATCAGGCTCACATGACTTGCTTGAGGTCTCGGGGAAGGTGAGTAATAAGCTGACCAGTAGTAGGTCTGACGGCTAGTCCAGTAGATGAATGAAAAGCAGCAGGGGTATCTGAGCCTGTGGAATGACCTGACTGAGCCAAGTCCCAGCAAAGCATTGCATCCAGTTCACTTCTCCATGTTGCGTCCACAGGCATTGTCCCCGAAGCGCTGCGCTGGCACCACTGTGCCCAGGACAGAGCCCTTCCTGTGAGTGGATACTCTGCAGGCAGAATGCTGCCCGTGGAGAGGGCAGCTGCAGGCTGTTCGTTCATTCCTTTGTATGCCCCAAGCGGGCGAAACAGACTGCAGCCTGAGGCCTTTGCTCTGACCCCCACTTCCCAGGAGGAGCGTCCATTGCAGACTAGTCACCCCCAGGTTTCCTGTGGGCGCCCTCCCCTCTCCGCAGGCGGCAGAACTAGGGTGTGGGGCAGATGAACTGGCCACAGGAAACCCTCAACTAACCCACCCTGTCCACAGCAGTGAACTGTAATGACCCCCCCAAAAAGGAAAAGTTGTGGGCACACTGAAACGTTATGTAATTAAGTACAAATATTTCCTACTTGTTTCTTTCTAGTTATAAGAGGGATTTAATGAAAATCCATAATGCTAGCACCTTCCTCGCTAATCCCACCTGGAGATAACTGCAGTTCATTGACCCATCATTACTTCCTAGGAGCTTACACATATTATAGGACTTATGTAGTTAAACTGAGTATTATTAAAACTAATGTGCAGGCCCTAACTGGTCTGGCTCAGTGCATAGGCGTCGGCCTGCGGACTGAAGGGTCCCAGGTTCGATTCCTATTCAAGGGCATGTATCTTGGTTGCGGGCACATCCCTAGTAGGGGATGTGCAGGAGGCAGCTGATGGATGTTTGTCATCAATTGTTTCTAACTCTATTCCTCTTCCTCTCTGTAAAAAAATCAATAAAATATATATTTTTGAAAACAACTAATGTGCATGTTGCTCTTCCTGAACAGTGTATCGTCCATCCCTCCAGGCCAACTCCTATGCTCACTTATTCAACCTTGTAGCTATCTGTTTCTATAAACATAATCATGGTTCTATAAATTATTTGGACCGTGGAGTGGCTTCAGTGGAAGTGGCTTAGGGAACTGCAACTTACAGCAAACAGCACTGCTTCCGCCTCTCTGGCCCAGGCTGGGAAGCTGGACCCGCCGGAGCCAAGACTGCTTCCAAGGGGTCAGTAGCCGGAATGCGGGAGGGGCCTGCCGAGCGCGGGAGCCGAGTGCTCCGGGCCGGGCTCCGCGCCACCTCCCACCTCCGGCCGCCAGAGGGCGCCGTCGGGCCGCCGCCGCTTCCCCCGGCGCCCCGCCCACCGGGCTCGTCCCCCTCCCCGATTGGCTGCGCGGCGGGAGCGCGCCGAGTCAGGGGGCGGGCCCGCGCCCGCTACAAAGCGACGGAGGTCACGGCGCGAGGAGGTGCGCGCCGCCGCCGGTGATCCGCTCGCGGCCTCGGCGTCGCCGCTCCGCCGCCGCCGCGGGCGCCATGGAGGGCGTGAGCGCGCTGCTGGCCCGCTGCCCCACGGCGGGCCTGGCCGGCGGCCTGGGCGTCACCGCCTGCGCCGCGGCCGGCGTGCTGCTCTACCGGATCGCGCGGAGGTGAGTGCGGCCCGGCCCGCCGCACGCGGCCTTCCCGCCGGCTCCGCCGCACGGCGCCGCCCAGCCCGTGCCCGCGGGGCCGCGGCTTTGCGGGGGGACCAGGCCTGTGTGCCCACGTGCTGAGACCCGCCCCGCACGCCCCCCTCCCCCCCAAAAAAAGACCGGAAGCGGCTGGGGACCAGGAATGCGGGGTGGGCGGGAGCGGCCGCACGTGGGTCACAAGCTTCCTCCTCCCCGCAGGACCCGCACACCCCAACACCACCCCCCGGGCCCCCAGCCCCGCGGGAGGGCTCGGCGGGTCGGACTGCACCCGGACTGCTTCCCGCCTCCACCCTGAGGGCACCTGGGGGCTGGTGGTGGGTGGCTCCGTGGTCTGCTCCGTGTCTGGGGTCTCATCTCAGCCCATGGCAGCCACAGTCCCTGCTCCCCGGGAACCAGAAGGGCCAGGGGTGGGCCGACCCTGAGGCCAGCATCCCCCAGCCCTGGGCGAGGGCTGCTGCTGAGCTGGTCCGGGGCCCCGGGCTCAGGGCCCCGGGCTCAGCGGGGACTGCGGCCCACCCCCGGGCTGTGTCTCCATCTGACCCCCTTCCGGGGGCAGGGAGAACCGGCGGTGCTGTGAGCACATTCTGGGGCGACGGTGGGTGGGCTTGTAGCTTCATGGGGGGGGGGGGGGGGGCGGGTTTGACGTTCAGGTCTTGAGTGGAAGAAGCGAAGGCACCTGCCCACACATGGCCGCGCTGGGGTTTGAACCTGGGCAGTCCGTCTGGCTGTTCTCTCTTCACTCCACCTTGTGCCACTTCCCACCCCGGGGAGAAGCCGGGAGGGTGACTGAGTCACAGGCTCCCGGAGGAGGAAGGAATCGGCTGTGAGCAGGCTGGTGGAGGAGGAAGGAGTAGGAGGGACACAGGCTGGCAGGCTGAGGAGGGGGCCGTCTCCTGGGAGGGCAGTGAGGCATTGAGGGGTCCCTGGGAACCCCCATCTCTAGTGTCCCAGCTCCTGCCGGAGTTCTGGAAGCTGGGAGGGCTTTCGGGACCCGCTGATTGAAAGGGGGGGACAGGTTGTCTCCGGATGCTGCTGCCTCCCGGTGAACTGGGCCTCACTGGTGTGTCGCATGCTCCTGTGTCCTGTGCTCCGGCTGTTCTCAGGCTGCCAGCCACCGAGGTCAGAGCCGGGCCTGGTGCAGAGAAGGGCATGCTGGGGAGGGGATCTGGGAGGGTCCTGGCTGCCTGTGACCCCAGCAGCGGAGGGTGCTGTGGGTGGCCTTGGGACCTGTTGGGACCAGCTCTCCCCAGGATGCTCGGGGACGCTCAGAGCACTGGCTTTGCCTGGGTCAAAACTGGACACTGTGATGATGGAAGCGAGACCAGCCCTTGAGACTGAGCCCTGTCCCCCAGGAAGCTGTGGCTTTGGCCACAGCCTGGGTGTGGGGGACCCTCCTGAGGAGAGTTGTGTTTGGAAAAGGATTTGGTCTCGTGGGGGGTTGCGAGCCCAGCACAGAGGTGGAGGGCACCCTGGCCAGGGAGCCGCCAGGAGGTGGGCCCCTCCCAGGAGGGCGGCCCTGCTCCCACCGGTGCTGCCCGGGACACCTGGGGGCAGGTCCCCTTTGCTCCCGCCCACAGCTAAGGAAGGAGGCTGCCTCCAGCTGTTAGACCAACCGCAGGCCCGCCCTCCGCCAGCTTCAGTCTGGAGCTGCCTGCTCCTGGGGCCATCCCCCCAGGCCCGCTGCTCAGCATGGCGCCCGTGTCCGTCCCCCAGACCCGCTGCTCAGCATGGCGCCCATGCTCGGGACCTCGGGCGCCCACAGCTCCCACAGGGTTTGCTGGGTTCCCCACGGGGTCAGGTTGGAGGCCGAGGGCATGCAGCTCCAGGGTGAGCAGCAGAGCCTTGTCCTGGCACCATGTCCTGCCCGCTCAGCACTCCATGCTCTCCCTGTGCTGCCGGACAGACAGGCTGCGGACAGACTCCCGGGCGCACACTGGGTGGTCCCCTGCCCAGCAGCCCTGCCTGTTTGGATGCCATCTGTTCCCTTTTGCCCTGCCGGCCAGCAGACCTGTTCTTCAGGGTAACAGCAGATGCCTCACTTTTTGGCTTCTCTCCTATGGCATCTGCCACCAGCTGCTCCGGGAGGTCGCCGTTCTCATCCTCGTCCCGGTCGGAATGGAGAGCTGGCTCCTCTGCCTCTGGCCTGGCTCTCCGTCCGGGGCCATTCCCTCTGGGGGCCGGCTCCCTGTCTGCCTGTCTGGGGGCCGGCTCCCTGTCTGCCTGTCTGGGGGCCGGCTCCCTCCCTGGGGCCCGGCTCCGTGAACATGAGGTCTGTCCCGGGGAGGCGGGCTGGGCTCTGTCTCGGTGTGGCAGGCAGGGCTGCTGTGGACTTGGGCTCGTTCTGCCCGGAGGCCCTGGGGTGCTGGCTGGCATTACGGTGCTGCTGCCGCTGGAGCCCAGGAGGCAACTCGGGTTCTCCATGTGTTCGCTCGGGGCACAGAGCAACAGCAAGAAGCCGAGGGGTTCAGCAAGGACTCTCCCCTCCTGGGCCCGCCGGATGTGGCCTCTGGCCCCCTAAGGGAGCGGAGTTTGACGCATGGAGACCACTCTCCAGCCCCTCCTGGGGGAGGCTGGGCACTCCTCAGGCCTGGGGGACACTGGTTGGCACATTGGCCTCCGCCACACTCAGCCCCCCAGGCAGGCTGGTCTCGTACCTGTGGGCTCACAGCGGTGCCCACCCCCTGGCAGGGCCCACCTGCAGGGAATGGTGGGGTGTCGCAAGCTTTGTTTTAACTAAATTGGGATGGGGTGCTGGGGTGATGCTGTGTCCATCTTCTGTCCCTGGTGCGTGTTCAGGCCTGTGGGGGGCGGTCCTGAGGGACCCCTGCCCTCGCTGCTTCCGGCTCCTCGGAGCCCCGCAGAGCCGGGAGCTGCGCACAGGGGTGGGGCAGTGGGAGCTGGCAGCACCGCCAGGCCTCCCGCCTGCTGGGATGCTGCTGCTTCGATCTGGTTACATCAGACCTGCACTGGGAGTGGGTGGTCCCAGGGTCTGGCCCGGCAGAAGTTTTGGCCTGGGGAGGAGTGGGTTGAGGGGTTTATGAGGGCGGGAGGGGGCATTCCCTGACCAGGACGGGGACAGGGTTAAGCTGGCACAGAATAGATGAGCCCAAATGCCTTACAGCGGGCCAGGGGAGTGGGGCAGCCCAGAGGACACGTCCCCGTTCGCCCACGTGTCTGACGCAGGGGGGCCAGTGCTGGGGGGCAGGGGGGGCTAGACTCCGCCCAGCCCCCATCGCTTGGCTAGCTCCTGCCTCTCACAGGCCTGCAGACCCTACAGGGACCGCCCAGAGGCACTGTGGGGGTGACCCCTTGACCTGTGAACCCCCACCTGCCACGGGGCCCCTCCCCTACTCACACACTGGGCAGGGATCACCCAGGGCTGAGAGTGACCGGAGCTGGAGCCACTGGCCCCAGGGACCAGGCTGGTCCTCCTCCCTTCCGGCCACCGGCTTCCAGGCCAGGCCCATTTCCCTAGCAACGGAGCCGGGGAACTGAGGTTCCTCTGGGAAATGGTGGCTTCTGGGTGGGAGGGGCTTCGAGCTGGCTCCCAGGACGGAGGCTGCAGTTCCTGCGCCCCCCACCGCCCCTGGGCTAGGTCTTTGTCCCCTTCCCCATCTTTATTCATGAGCTGCCAGCTCTTCCGCTTGGCTTCAGTGGCTTCAGGCCAGAGGCGGTGTGGTGATGGGGGTGTGGGGGGAAGGGCTGGAGAGCCCCAGGGGCCGGTGAGAGGTCACCTGGGGAGCAGGTGCTGAGTAACAGAGCCCAGGGCTTCATTCCGGGGTGCCGGGTGCCGGGTGCCGGGTGCTGGCGCTGAGAGAGCAGGCGCCACACTTCCTGCCGGGCTGACCTCCGCGGCCGCCTGACCCTCTCTGCTCCCTGCGGCCTCCGGGAGGGATCGCCATCCTGCTGCCCAGATGAGCAGGCAGGTGGCGGGGTCTGGGGACAGGATGACTCCCCGAAGGCCAGGCCTGTGTCCGCAGTGCTGCTCCCCGGGCCCTGCCCTCTGCTGTCCGCAAGTCTGACATAGCAGTCCCTGCCCACTGCGGGTTTTCAGAGCGGGGCCGGGTGCGGGGCTGCCGGGGGCACTCCCTGGTTCCATCTCTGGGCGCCTCTGGCTCGGGGGAGAAGTGGGTTGAGGGGTTTCTTGGGGGGCATTCCCTGAGCCGCCCCCTCTCTCCGCCCACCCCATGTGACTTCCCTTTAGGGGGCGTTGGGCCAGGCACCGGTAAGCACTCCCGGTTAGCAGCGTGAGACTGAGGCTTGGAGAGCCCTGTAACCTGGTGGTCGGGGGCAGGAGTGGGAGCTCCGCTCTCAGGGGGCGATGGTGACAGAGCTGGCCCCTCACGTGGCAAGCACCTTTGTGTGGCTGTGTGGTCGGGTCCTTGTAGTGCACGGTCCCCGAGGTGCTGCGGCCTCACACTTGGCAGACGTGGCCTAGGGAGGCAGGAAGAAGGGGAGAGGAGGAGCTTCCAGGCTCACAGCCAGCCGTGGGCAGAGCTGGCACCTCTGGCTCTGAGGCTGGGGGCTGTGCCACCCTGTGGGCAGTAGAGCATCTGTGTGGTGAGGCTGCCACTACAGCAGGGTCCGAATGGCACCCCCGGAGCAGGAGGCGGCCTGGCCAGTACCCCGGGGCTCAAGCAGCTGCCTCCGTCACCTGCTTGTGTCTAGATTCCTAGGACCAGGGTTTGCTGGGCAGTTGCTGCGCGCGCACCCCTATCACACCATGGCCAACGAGGCGGCTGGAGGGGCCCCGCGCACAGATCCTGGTATCTGGGCTGGGATTACCCTGCAGCAGCACCTGTCACTACACGTGTGCTGTCTGGCGTGCTCTCCCCAGCCCACAGCTGTCTCTAAGCCCCGCCCCTGGGCCTTCCTGGAGGCTCTGGGAGCACCATTTCCGGGCCTGGGAACGGGCCTCCCAGGGAGGGATTAGGGCTGGCCTGTGGCCTGGCCAGCATGAGCCCCAGGGTGGCCCTGGATCCCCTCGTGGGCGTGCTGGAGGCCCAGGAGGAGCCAGGCCCGTGTGGCCTCCTCGCTGGTTCTCCCGGGGCTGCCTCCGGGACTGGTCTCCGTTGTGCACAGGCACCAAGGCCTCCGCTGACTTGACTCTCCCCTGTGCACAGGACGAAGCCGACACACACCACCGTCAACTGCTGGTTCTGCGCGCAGGACACGGTGGTGCCCTACGGGAACCGCAACTGCTGGGACTGCCCCCACTGCGAGCAGTACAACGGCTTCCAGGAGGTGCGGCGCCCAGCACCCCGCCCCCTCCCGCAGCCCGGGGACCGGGTGACTCGCCCAGAGGCACACCAGCGGAGTGGGCAGGTTGGGGGTCAGCCCTGGATCTTTCTGGCTCACGCCCGCGCTCTGCTTGGCACTTGGCCAGGGGTCCGCGGGCTCTGCCGAGAACCAGGGAGGCTCTGGCTTTGCAGCCACACTGTCCTGTCCCCAGGACTCAGCTCTGCCAAGCCCCCGCCACAGACAGCGCCCCCCACGGCCCCTGCAGCACACGCGGCCGGCTGCGCCCCGGGGGCTGCACTCTTGCCTGTGGGGTTCCTTCCTCGTAAATTCTTGGAGGACAGGCCGCTGGCTGCTGCGTGGAAAGAACATGGGGGCACTGGGAGCTGCTACCACGGGGGTCACCAGCGCTGGGTCGGGCTCCCGCTGACTCTGCCCTCCCCCCCCAGAACGGCGACTACAACAAGCCGATCCCCGCGCAGTACCTGGAGCACCTGAACCACGTGGTGAGCAGCGCGCCCAGCCCCCGCGCACCCGCGCAGCCCCAGCAGTGGGTGAGCAGCCAGGTGCTGCTGTGCAGGAGGTGCAGCCACCACCAGACCACCAAGATCAAGCAGCTGGCCGCCTTCTCGCCTCGGGATGAGGTGAGGCCGGGACCGGGAGGGGGGAATGTCGGGGGGGGGGGGCATGCCCAGGGCTCTTCAGACAGCCTCCCTCCCCTGGCCTCCACCCTCCATCTCGTCACACAGGCCTCCATCCCCCTCCATCGCATGGTTCCTGCTCTCTTGGCTCCACGCCTGGGGACCTCATGGAAGCCTAGTGCCTGCCAGTCCCGAGGGGTTTGTCCCTGGCAGGTGGCTCCCGTGGGGCCCTGTCCCTCTGAGTCAGGCTGCCCCCCGCTGGCCGGACACTGCTGTGGCGTTGGTGGAGGAGAGGGAGGCTGGATGCTAGGAGTTCACACACGCGCACACACACACACACACACACACACACACACACACGTGCGCGCGCGCGCGCGCCTGCCGTGGAGCCCAGCAGCCTTGTCTTCTAGCTCCGTGGTTGGCAAACTGCGGCTCGAGAGCCACATGCAGCTCATTGGCCCCTTGAGTGTGGCTCTTCCACAAAACACCACAGCCTGTGCGAGTCTATTTTGAAGAAGTGGCGTTAGAAGAAGTTTAAGTTTAAAAAATGTGGCTCTCAAAAGAAATGTCAATTGTTGTGCTGTTGATATTTGGCTCTGGACTAAGGAGTTTGCCGACCCCTGCTGTAGTTGCTCCTGCCTTCCCACCCCCAGGCCGGCGGCTGTGACCTCAGGAGCTGAGGCCCTGAGAAGCTGGCTTTCCCACGGCCCGGCTGGGTACAGGGGTGGGAGGACAGGATGGAGGCAGGTGTGACTTGGCCACCAGGGCAGCTTGGTCCCAGCAAGATAAGACCAAACTGATAACCCGCTGGCCCTGCAGACAGATGTGTGGGGGCTCTGGAAACGGGGAGAGGAGCATTACTGCATCCTGGGGAGGAGGGAGGGGGGGACTGTCTGCTCTGTTCCTAGAGCCCCAAGGACCTGCAGCCCCCACTCAGCCCAGCCAGGGCCTCTCTGCTTTCTGGACCCAGAGCTGACCAGCGGGGAGACCCTGCCTGAGTGTCTGTCTGCTCCAGCCCAGGCAGCGCCAGCCCAGAGCCAGCTGCTCCCGTGGCCCCCTCTGGAGTAGGACTTGGCCAGAACGCCTCCGTGCCCTGTGGTCCCGCTGCGCCCTGGGCTCTGGGTGGTCCTTGCTCCCGGTGGCTGTCGGCACACGCTCAGGGTGCTGTTTGCCCGCTGGCAGTGAGGAAGCAGGGTCAGGGTGGGGACAGCTTCCCGTGGTCGCCCCGCTGGTAAGTGGACCAAGAACCTGAGCCTCTGCCCCGCCCGCAGGGCCGGTATGACGAGGAGATCGAGGTGTACCGGCACCACCTGGAGCAGATCTACAAGCTGTGCCGGCCGTGCCAGGCGGCCGTGGAGCACTACCTCAAGCACCAGAACCGCCAGCTGCGCGCCCTGCTCGTCAGCCACCAGTTCCGGCGCCGGGAGGCCGACCAGAGCCACACGCAGGTCTGAGCGGCGCGCCCACGGGCATTTGGGGCGTCCCAGCCCTCGGGCTGGTGCAGAGAAGCCCCTCCCAGGGCTGGGCCCGCAGACTGGTGGGCAGCTCTCCAGAGCCAAGGCCTTCTCCCTGGAAACCCTTCCTGCGGGGCCCTGTGTCAGCAGCTGGAGGGGGTGTCCCCAGAAGAGTGGCTCAGTATTGAGGTCCGCCCATCATTTGCATACCTGACAGTCTGGAGCCTCGATGTGTCCGGGCACTTCCCCACCCCTGCATCCATTCCCCACTCAGGCATTTCCCAGAGCACCGTGCGGCGGCCATGCTCTGAGGCTCTGCGCCGCCCACTCAGCCAGGAAGCCGAATGGGGAGGTGAAGTAACGGGGGGCGGGGGGGGGGGCGGCCCCACACCCTGTGTGCCAAGGCACCAGGATTTGAACCCAGAACCAGATGGCTAAAAGTCACTAACTTTAAAATTATGTATTTACTGATTTCAGAGAGGGAAGGAGAAGGAGCAAGAGATAGAAGCATCAATGATGAGAGAATCATAGATCAGCTGCCTCCTGCCTCTGCACACAGGATCGAGCCCACAACCCAGCCATGTGCCCCACCAGGAATCGAACCATCATTTCCTGGTTCATAGGTCAACACTCACCCACTAAGCCACGCTGGCGAGCTAAAACTCACTAATTTTTATCACCGTCTTCAGTTAGTGGAATGTTCTGGGTCTTAAATCTGATAGAGCGGTGAGTGGATTTAGATGTAGCTCACCCCCTCCGGCCCCAGATGTGCTGTGTCCAGTGGCAGGTGGTTTCCAGTCCACAGCTGGCTCCGGCCCACACGGCCATGCACGGCCCACAGCCCGTGTGTGCACAGCAGGGCGCTCGGACCTGTGCTTTTTCTCCTCACCGCGTTTCTATGCTGAACAACTTATTGCCGTATTTTTAATCTTAACTTTGGTCAGAGTTATTTATATGTTTATTATAATTCCCGAAGGAGTTTATGGTGAGAATTTGGCAAAAAGAATGAAAAATTTATATGAAAGAATAAGGTCACCATAAGCTCAAAAGCTCTCTAAAGAAGAGGCAGCCATGGGCCGGGTCAGGGGGTCTCGGCTGTAAGCCTGGAGACAGCCAAGAAGGTCCGAGGGTTCGGGCCTGATCAAGACAGGGTCTCGGATCGGCAGGTCCCGGGGGGTTCTTCGGCCACCAGCCGCCGGGCACCAGCGCACGGGCAGTGGCTGTGGGCGGCTCTTGCCATGTGGCTGACCAGTCTCTCCCTCCCTCCCCCAGAGCTTCTGCTCGTCCGCGGTGAAGGCCCCTGTCCAGGTCATCGTGCTCCGCGCCCTCGCCTTCCTGGCCTGTGCCTTCCTGCTGGCCACCACGCTGTACGGCACCAGCGACCCCTTTGTCCCGGGGGCCACCCTGCCCCCAGCTTTGCCCCCCGGGGGCAACGGCTCGGCTGCTCCTGACAACGGCACCGCCCCTGAGGCTGAGGGCTGGCGACCGCTGCTGGGCCTGCTGCCGGAGCACGTGACCGAGCAGCTGCAGGAGGCCTGGGCCTACGGGCGGGGCCACCAGACCGGCGTCGTGGTGCTGGGCCTGCTCACCTGCCTGCTGGCCATGCTGCTGGCCGGCCGCGTCAGGTGCGTGTGGGCCGGAGCAGGGGGCTGGGGGCGCCAGCCTGGGTGGGGCTTCGCTGTGTGGTGGAAGCAGCTGGGAGGCCGGGGGCGAGAGAGAGTAAATGACTTTCCTTAGGGGGCAGCGGCACTCAGAGCAGGCCCCCCGACCGCTGCTGGTTGGGGCCACCTGGGCCAAACCACCCCAGTCTCTCCTCCTCAGACTGCTAATAACCACCCACCGCTGTGGGTGCCCTTGGGCCCTGATTTCCCTCCCTGTTCCGATTGGTGTTCACGTCATCGCAGTGACTCTGAGGGAGGTTTCTGTTTTTCTTTCTTTTTAAAATGTATTTATTGATTTCAGAGAGGGAGAGGGAGAGAAACATGGATGAGAGAGAATCATTGATCGGCTGTCTCCTGCACGCCTCCTACTGGAGATTGAGCCTGCAACCCAGGCCTGCGCCCTGACTGGGAATCAAACCGTGACCTCCTGGTTCATAGGTCTGTGCCCGCCCACTGAGCAGCACAGGCCGAGCTGGGGGAGGTTTCTGAGCCCTGTTTCACTGGCTGGAACACTCAGCTCGGAAACAGACCAGCTCGGAGCCGAGCAGCGTGTACATGCCGGAGGCGGGTCGAGAGGCACTGCACTCTTGGCTCTGGGTTCTGTCTCTGAGCAGGGGGGGGGGGGGGGGGGGTGAAGGGCAGCGAGCGGGAGGATGAGGGACTTGTCTTGCTGAGATGGGCCCTCACGCAGCCCCGCTCTCCCCAGGCTCCGGAGGATTGACGCCTTCTGCACCGGCCTGTGGGCGCTGCTGCTGGGCCTGCACCTGGCTGAGCAGTACCTGCAGACCCCCTCGCCCAGCTGGCTGGACACGCTCAAGTTCGGCACCATGTCCCTGTGCTGCCTGGTGGGCCTGATGGCGGCCGTGGCCACAAGGAAGGCGACGGGCCCGCGGAGGTTCCGGCCCCGAAGGTCAGAGAAGCCGCAGTGATTGCGGGGGGAGGACAGACGGACGGACAGCCCCAGAGCTTTGCGCCCAGCCCAGAGCAGGGCACTTCTCTGTCTTGGCTCTTTCTTCCTGCCTCACTCTCATCCCTGCCCAGCCCCTGCCCTTCCCTGAGGAGTCGGGCCTCCCTCACCCCCCTCCTTTCCCAGTAAGTCATCCCCCAACCTTAGTGCCCTCTCTCGGGCCAGAGTCCCTCCCATTGCCCCGAGGCCAGCATGCGGGCGATGCCCTCACAGGCTGCCTGTGCCTACGGCTTCCTCCGGGCAGCTCCGGGCATCCCCTCCCGCCACGGCCCCTGCCTGCCTCTGACACCGTGGGATGAGGCCACTGTCTGCTGCTCCTTACACCAGCTCTGAGCTCCTGGCACGGGCTGGTGACAGTGGCTGCAGACCGAGCCCTTGCCACGTGGCCTGACCCCTGGGCAGCTTGACCCGGGCGGGAGCTGCTGAGCGGGACCCAGGGGAGAGCCACGCCTCGTCCCCACGTCCTTCTCTGTCTGTCCCTTTGGTCCTGCCCAGTGCCCGGCCAGCCCTGCTAGAAACCGGTGAGACCAGAGTCTGGGCTGCCCCTGGGCCCACTGCCCCATCCCCACACCTTCCTGAGCCCCTCTCACCCTCAGCCTCCTCCCTGGGCCTGGGAGCGGAAGGTGCAGTTTTTGGGCCCAGACTGGCGTTGGTCATGAGTTTGTAGGGCAAGGGTCTGCTCACGGTGATGGTGGGAAACGCTCCTGCTGTGGCCAGCAGGTTTCTGGACAGTCACTGCTCTGCCCCTAGAGCCCTCACAGGGGTGCTGAGGTTCCTGATTTCCACCTTCCTGTAGGGTGTCCACAGAGGCTCGGCCAAGCCAACCCTCAGAGTGCTCTGCACTCTCCCTCCCGGGCCCGTCCTACCACTTGGCTCGTCGGAGCCCAGGGCAGGCAAGAACAGATGACAAAGGCGTGAGAGCCACTCAGCAAGGGGCCACCGACCAGCCGAGAGGCGGGGAGGAGGCCCAGGCCTGGCCAGGTCCCAGGGAGTCGGGAGCTGCGCCCGCGCCCGCGCCCGCTGTCACTCATCCTCGCGTCCACGGGGAGAGGCTGCCCCGCCCCTGACTCCGCCCCTCCGCACCCATGTGTGCAGAGCGCCGGGATCAGGAGCTGCCCCGGCAGCCGTGTGGCCTCAAGGCCCGTCCGCTGGTTGTGTGTGGAGGGGATGGAGGAGGAGTGGGGATGCAGAGCAGAACCTAATCCTGCTGGGGAGGCGGCCTGCCCCTTCCCGGCCAGCCGGTGGGCAGGGCGGCAGCATTGCCCGTGGAGAGCCGGGGCGTGCTGGGCTGTGCACGCCCTTGTCTCTGGGGCCCCCTGCTTTCAAGGAAGCTAATGCCTGCTTCTCTTGGCGCTGAGGAGGAGCAGGACGTGTGTGTGTGCGTGTGTGTGTGTATTTAAGTTAAGTTATTTATAATCACAACCAGCTCCCTAGCTGGCCGGGCCCCGCTGAGCAGAGTCTGCCTGCCCCGGTGGGGATGGGAAGACCCCCATGAAATGAGCCTCAGCTGAGGGCACTTCCTGGCCTTTTTATTCTGTGACTTTTAACTGCCCACCAGTCCCTTCAAGCGGCATTACTTGGAGCCTATTCAGCACCTCCTGACCTTAGCGGCAACAGCGAGGCAGTGCAGGCACCACTGGGGTCCTGGCTTATTAGCTGGGAGTGTCACCCCTGCCAGGGACCTCTGCCCCCAAGACCTGAGGGAGGTGCACACGCTGTCTTCTCCCTCTGGGTCTGGGCCTGGGTCCTCACCCGGGGCCCAGCAGGCTCCTCCCGGGCGCGCCCCGCCTGGAGGGGCGTGTCAGCGTGTCGCTGTCCGTGCCTGTGCCTGTCGTCTGTCCCTGAGTGTAGAGCTGCAGATGATGTCTAGTGGCCCTCCATCCCTGTAACCGCAGCCCCGGCCAGATGTGTGTTCGATGCTGTATTTTCAATAAATGCCTCCGGGGCCCTGCTCTGACCCTGGGCATCAGGTATCGCGTCTTTTTTGTTTTTTCTTTCACGTTCTTTCCGGGGTGTCTGTGCTGGGGGCGGGCCTTGGGGTACCGGCGTGCCAGGGAGTCAGGCTTGGGAGCTGGCGACATGGAAATGGAAGGACAGGGCCCAGCTGACTGTCCCTGCCGGGTGGGATGGTCCCTGTCTCAGCAGACGGCCACTTACATAGCTTGCTCCTGCTCGGGGCTGGGGCTGGGGCTGGGTCCTCTCCGTCAGGTGGGACACCGAACAGGCACCCGGCCCTCCTCGGACCCCTTACCCGGGGACGGAGACTCAGATTCCGTGCTGGTGCCTGTGGAGCCGGTTCCGGAGCGCAGCGGTCTGGGCGCCGGGCCAGTGGAAGTGTCGGTTCGTGTGAAGCTCAGGAGCCAGCGGAGACGGCCCTGTAACAGGAGGCTCCCGGGACCGGTCTGCGGCCGGGACCAGAGCTCACACCGCATCTTACAAGGATCCGCTAGTTGAAGGGTCAGAGAAAACTGTCCCCTCCATGCCAACATTTACACCGGCATCAGAGACGGGGTGGGGTCCTGGAAAGTGCTGGCAAGACCCAGCTTGTCTGGGCCAGCTGGCCACCTGCGAAACCTGAAGGCCGGCTCGGCCCCTCTCGCTGCTGGGGGGAGGGGGGTGGGAAGCGTCCGAGGCCTCCTGCTGCATCTGCGGGCGGGCCTGGGTGCGCCTGCTCAGCGGCTCCGGACACGCCTGGGTCCTCCTGGCACAGGCCCCGCAGGGACAGCTTTACGCACCATCAGGGCAGGCTGCCAAAGGTCCCTGCGTCCTTTGTGCCTGACGCTCCCCCTTCTGCCACAAAACCGTGAAATGGTACCTTCTGTTGGGGCGAGGGGCTTCCCCAGGTGTCCTGGCTTCAGGACACGTCAGCAGGTGGAGGCTGGGCGAGCAGCTTGGCTTGAGCTCCTGCCTTGATTTCCCCACGCTCCCGCCTTGGGTTCTGAAGTCCAGGAAGCCTGCTGGCACTCCGGATAGCATTAGCAAGGTCACGTGATCTCCAGGAGGGCACTGCACTCTCCTCAAAGCTTGTTGAAGGGGAGGGTGAGAACTAGCAGGAACTCCTGGGTGCAGTGGGCCTGGGGGGTTCCCTTAGCCCCGAGGCTCTGCTGCAGGGCCTGGCCAGCCTGCCCGTCATCGGCACGTTGTCCGCGGCTCCTTTGTCCCTGGGGACCGAGGTAAGGCCGGGCCTCCCGCATCTCCGTCCAGACAGCGGGCAGACTAATGCATTAACTGTCGCTGTCCCCGCCTCTGTAATCGGTTGCCTTAACCAGAAGCATGGTTGACATTCTGGCTTGGGGCCACCGGGTCCCGTTGTGTGATTTGTACCGTTCTCGAGTTAAAGGGACACTGTCACCATCCATCTTCTGTGCAGCCTTGTGGTCACTTAGGGGTTTTCTCCAAGTTCAAGTTTGGCTTGTGTCCTGTGTGTCTCTTCCTGGGGGTCCTAAGCCTGGCCACCCCCCTCGGCTCTACAAGACACTGGGCTGAATGTCCATTGTCTGAGGCCAGAGGGCAGCAGTCGGACACCCGGGGAGCAGGGCCCCGAGCTCGGCCGCTGCGATGGGGGCTCTGGACATGAGCAGGAAGGACAGGAGGAACCCCAGGCCACTGGCCGCTCCTGGGAGCCTGGCAAGGGGCTGGGCATTTCCGCTTCAAGGCGAAGGGTTGACGTGAGGTTGGCAAGGGCGACAGTGTCACTTTAACACTGAGACCCATAGTGGGACTAGTTTGCTGTGACGGATCGGAGGGGGCATGCGGGGCGGTGGGTCACGCTGCACTCCCAGCCACCGATCCTAACGGTGTGAATGTGGTCGGACTGCTTCCCGCTTCCACTAACGCACGCCTCCTCGGGGACCCCGACTCAGGCCCCCCCTGTGCCAGGTGAGGGGGCAGCTGGCGGACCGCCTTCAGAGCCCTCCAGGCTGACCTCCTCCCCCGCCCGCGGCCTCTTGCAGGTACCTCCCCGGAGACTCGGCCGGCCTCTTCCCTGCCTGCCCCAGCCTGGCCGCGCCCTACCCGGGCGTCGCAGCCTCTCCGCCGTCTCTCTTCCTCCCCGCCTCGCCCGGCTTCCTGCCCCTCGCCAGCCAGCAGCTGTTCCGCTCTCCCCGACGGGCCTCGCCCTCCTCGCTGCCAGGCCGCCTCAGCCGGGCCCTCTCGCTGGGCACCATACCCTCTCTGACCCGAGCAGGTAAGAGGCACGCGGGCATCGGCGGGCCACGTGGGCCTGGGGGCAGCTGGGCACCGGGACTCGGGCCGTGTACAAGTGGGAGGAACTGGGTTCAAATCCTGCTGCATCCACTAAGCAGCTGCCCTTCACCAAAGGACTTGCTGGCTCTGAGCCTCAGTTTCCCTCAAGAAAATAAGAAACCGGTTTGGCTCAGTGGATAGAGCGTCAGCCTGTGGACTGAAAGGTCCCAGGTTCGATTCCTGTCAAGGGCATGTGCCTGGGTTGTGGGCACATCCCCAGTGAGGGTGTGCAGGAGGCAGCTGATGGATGTTTCTCTCTCAATGATGTTTCTAACTCTCTATCCCTTTCCCTTCCTCTGTAAAAATCAATAAAATATGTTTTTTCTAAAAAAAGAAAAAGAAAAGACCAGTAGTAGAACCGGCCCCGGGTGGTGGTGAGAGGAGTGAGAGGATGTAAAGCGCTCACACGGGCAGTGCCTCCCGCGGGCACTCGGTGAACGTTTGAGCCCTTCGCGGGGTTTATGCCGCACCCTGTTCTTCCCTATTGTTACTGCTGCTGCTTTCAGTCCTGGGCTGGACGCTCTGCCCCAGCCGCTCCGTATGGTCCAGGGCAGGATTCAGTCAGGTCAGTCCAGGTGCTCCCGCCTGTGGGCTCGGCCATGACCGCCACCTGGTCCTTGTCGGGAGCGCAGTCTCATTCTCCACCTTCCCCCAGGACCGCCCTGGCCCGGCCCAGCTCCGGCCTCCTGGGCCCTGTGTGCGCAGCAGCTGGGACAGGACCGCGGGAGCCCTGGGTGTGGGCCCCAGAGGCCCAGCTGCCCTTCCCCACGGGACTGCTGTCTGGAGCTGCCCGCCAGGAGCCGGGGTGCCAGGCCTGCGGGGTGGGAAGCGCTGGGTTTGGGCCCACAGCGGTGCAGACCCCAGAGCCTTCCCAGAACCCTCTGGGGGAGAGTTGCAGGCGGCTGGGGGTGGCACTCTGCGACTGGTTTATCCTTCAAAAAGGAAATGATGTGGGTTAATGGCCCTCGGGGTGAAGGCAGGGCTGTGAGTGACAGGCTGGATCAGCAGAGCCGGCCCTGGGGCTGGAGGGCGGGCACCTGACCTTGTCACGTCTCCCCTCCAGACTCGGGGTACCTGTTCAGCGGGAGCCGCCCGCCATCGCAGCTGTCTCCGTCGGGGGAGGCGCCTGTTCCAGGTAAGAGGGGTGACGGGGAGCAGTCTCGGTGGGGGTTCCAGAGGGCTGTGTGTTAACCATGAATCGAGGGTCAGGCAGGGTCTGTGTTCACATCCGTCCCTGCGCCTCCGTGTGTGCAGGCCTGGGCCAGCGACTCTCACCCCGAGCCTCGACTTCTGTGCAGTGGGTGTTAGGGTGAGAGGGAATGCGCTCCTCGTCAGTGGCCCGGGTCACTCGGGGTCCCGCCTTCAGCAGGGCAGGGAGCGGACCTTAAGTCTCAAGAATTGGTTGCTGTCCTGGCATTGCTCTCAGCTGAGGGCAGTACCAGGGCCGCTGGATAGAAATTGCGAGGCAGAGGGGACATTGCTGAGGGGCCCCGGTCCTCGTCCCTCCCACGGGGCCAGGGGCGTGGGCTCCTCCCCCTCTGCCCAGCCTTGCCTTGCTCCTGGGTAACAGGAACGGAAGAGGCCCCGGGCTGTGTAACAACCCCAGGTGCAGACTGACTGACAATCAGACGCCTGCGCTACAGGCACGGTTTTTGTCCTCCTCCGCCCTCCAGATTACTACTCTCTGCTGCTGGGGAGCTGCCCATCCCCGTTCCCTTCCCCGGCGCCCTCCGTGGCCGGCTCGGTGGCCTCCAGCACCGGCTCGCTGCGCCACCGCAGGCCCCTCATCAGCCCGGCCCGGCTCAACCTGAAGGGGCAGAAGCTGCTGCTGTTCCCGTCGCCGCCCGGGGACGCCCCCAGCACCCCCAGCAGCTCCGACGAACACTTGCCCCTCAACGGCAGCCTCTTCAGCATCGAGACACCCCAGCCACAGAGGCAGCCAGCGCAGGACACGAAGCACAGCGTGGGTATGCGCCTCGGACCCGGCCCTGGGGGCAGGAGAGCCCGCTGGGCTGTGGGGGCGCCTCTGGGATCAGCACAGTGTGGAGACCCCCATTAGGAGGCTCACAGGGCCTGTCCTTGATCTTCTTGGGATGTGTGCGGCCAATCTCCCCAGCTCCATGGCCCCTGGCTGGCTTCTCATGACCTTGAACCCTCCAGGACATTGCTCTGTTAGCTGATATTCTTTTATTGTTTTGCAATTGACCTTGAGGCTGGTCTGTTCCTTAGGATGGATCAGAAAGGTATTATGCCCTGCCAAGCTGCGTCTGGTGACGGGCTTTTTGTTTTTGCTCAAGTATTGTCTGACTGTCCTGTCCCGGGTGTCCTGTGAGCACCCGCTGAGACACCCTTCTCTGCAGACATGAGGCCCGTGCGCGAGAGAGGCAGCGCCTGCAGCAGCCGCTCCATCAAGAAGGAGGACGACTCCTCGCAGTCCTCCACGTGCGCGGTGGACACCACCACCCAAGGGTGCCCCGAGGAGACCACCTGGAGAGGTCTGCACCTGCGCTGTTTCGGGGGGAGGGCAGGCAGCACGGGGCCTCAGTGTGCAGCCAGGTTCGCCCGCTCTGTCTGGGACCCTGACGGAGAAAGACCCTCGAGGGGCCCCTAGTGACGGAGGGCGGTCAGGTAACCGCCAGCGCCTCGAGATGCAGCCTGTGCCCACCGCTCCGTCCCTGTTGCTATAGCCTCAGGTCACGTGGTCACAGGCGGCTATTTAAATCTTAACAAAATTAAAATTTGGTAACAAAATGCTGAGTCCTCAGCTGCACCAGCCACATTCACGTGCTCCATTGCCCGTGTGGTCTGTGCTGGCCTGGGCTGTCCATAAGTTGCCTGAGTTCAAGTCCTGCCTCCGCCTGTGGGCCCAAGGCAGCTGTGAGATAAATCCCGTCAGCACCTGGCACTGCCCGGGGAGCAGGGGCACGTGTGTGGTGAAGATGGACACGCAGGCTTCCTGGAAAGATTGGGTGCTTCCCCCACATCGGGGTCCCGGGGCGGAGCGCGGCAGCCAGGGCAGAGGGGCCGCCTGCTGACCGTGGAGGCCTGGGGTGCTAGTCCCCTAGAGCCTGTTTCCTGTCTGTGAAGCCAGGTCACTGCCCATCGCCACGGGGCAAGCACAGGGACCAGCCAGTGCCTCCTGGAGGCCGGGCTCGGGAACGGAGGAGCCTGAGGGCGGGACGTGACCGTGACCCAGGCTGCAGTGTCCAGGGGCAGCCTCCGGGGGCAGAGGGAGTGACCTGTGGTGAGCCAGGGGCACAGACCCCACCCGGGTCCTCTGACCGCCGTGCCTCTGACTGGGTCTCTGCTCTCTCCAAGGTCGGTTCGTCCCCTCCCTGGTCCAGGGCCTCCTGGCTGTGAGCCTGACGGCCAATGCCCTCTTCACCTCGGCCTACCTATACCAGAGCCTGCGCTGACCGAGGGCCTTGGCTCCCGGCACCGGAGCGCCCAGATCCAGGTGCTGCTGCTGCCACTGCCGCCGCCCTCAGGGCCGCCCCAGGCCGAGTCCTCGGACCCTTCTCCTCACTGAGCGGCGTGGACCGGGGCTGAGGCCTGTGCGCTGCACGCCGCCCTCCATCTTGCTGACATCAGTTGTGTTTGGTGCTGCCACGGAGCCAGGGGTCCCCGGGGGCTGCGCTGTCCGGCCCTGCCCGTGGGGCCTCCACCACTGCGCCTGCAGCCGAGCCCTGCCCGGACCCCGCACACGGGCCACGGCCACATCTCAGTCCCGTGTGCCCGTCCCCCGGCCTCAGGCTCCCTGTGTCCCGTCCTCCACCAGCCCCTTGAGGAAGAGCATCCTCTGCCACCTCACCCTTCCGCCTACCCCGGCGAGGCCTGCCCTCTGGCTCTCTTCTCAGCTGGGCCTGCAGGACGCTTGTAAGCATCCTGCTCACAACTCCCTGCTGCCCAGTGCCCCGTTGTACCTCTGGTGGCCTCTCAGGCAGTCGCCCTGTTCCCTGAGAACACTGCCCAGGGCAGCCTGCAGGTGGCAGATGAGACCACCCCCCCGCCATGGCCCTGGCTCCTTCCCGCTGCCGAGACCCCCTTCCTCCCTTTGGTTCCACTGGCGCCACGGGCCGGGTGTGGCCCCGTCCTCAGCCACCTTGGCGGGCTTTGTCCCCTCCCTGCCCCTCCGTCCTCGCCATCGCCCTTCCGCGCTACTGCACGCTCGCCCCCTCACCCCGGAGCCGGTCCTGCCCCCTGAAGCGGGCGGCCCTGGGATGGCACAGGGACCCTCCAGACGCTGCGGCCGTCAGACCCCAGTCCCTGCTGCCTGGGCCTCGGACAGGGTGGGCGGCGTGTGTGTATGTGACTGCACATGTACGTGCGTGTGACGTGCCGGCCTCCGTGCTGCGGGGGAGGGAGTGGCTGCCGGGATGGATTCTGAGACAGGAGGAGGGGTCTTCGCTCCACCATTCAGGGATAAAGTTTAATTTTATTTTTCTACTCATTCTGCCAGGTGAGGCGTTTTGCTGGGAAGCAGGATGCCCCCGTCCTCCCAGCCAGGGAGGGTAGTTTTTTTAAGCTTTGGGTGCTTTTTTTAGTAATTGATTTTTACCACGTGGAGGAGGAGATTGCTCTGACTTCCCTCTTCCTCTTTCCCCCACTCACGTCCTGAGAGCTACGGTCTCCTGCCCTGACCCCTCCCCAGAACACGGGGGTCAGGACCCGAGTCCAGCTGCCGAGATGGTTCCAGTGGGTGTCTCGGCCTCCATTTGTACAGTGGGCATGTGTCAACTTTTTAATTTTATTTTCTGCCGAATAAAGCCAAACTCCATTCTCAAATGCACTTCCTCTCCGGCTCTGAGGAACCCCCCACGGAGCCCCACCCCCATCCCCAGGCCCAGGGTCCCAGCTCCTCACCGAGACCGGGAGAGGCTGGCAGAGGGGTTTACCGTATGTTTTCGTTTAAACAAAAAACACAGTCTTGTCTTTACAAAAGCAAAAAACTCAAGAAGACACCAGCCTTTGAACTGCACTTGTCTTTATTCTGCAGCCCAGCCCCTGAGGACCCCACAGGGCGGGGGCCGAGCCCGGCTGAGGTGGAAGTGGTGTATTTGTTCAGCACAGAGCTCCGGGGGCCCCCGGCTCATAGGGTGATTGGCAGTGTCCCCAGAAAAGCTTAGGGATTTGAACAGGAGACCAGCGCCAACAGAGAAGGCAGGTGTCACACAGCATGAGCGAGGCAGGACGTGCTCTGCTGTCAGAAAGGCCTGGCCCCAGGCCTGCAGGGTGGTCAGAGGCCTTGTTTTCTCCTGAGCCCACTCGCATGGCCTGGGGGTCAGCTGCTGGGCTCCCCACCAGCCCCTTAGGGCGGAGCCCCCAGGCCTCATAGCTGAGCTGAAGGCAGATGGCCCAAGCAGCAGGCACAGGGTGGGCACGGGGGAGGCCCTCGGAGGTGATGGGCCAGTTGTCACTGAGCCTGCAACCCCTGGTAGGTGAGGGCAGCCTCTTGGGGGTGAGCCTGGGCCTGCCTTCTTACTGGCTGTGGGTTAACAAGCCCTGGGCCCAGGTGGGATCGAGAAGCCACACCACGATGCAGGAGCACCCATAAAGGTGACTCCTGGCCCGGCACCCAGAGGCGGGGGGCTGGCGGGTAGATGGCTCTAAACCTGACCTTGAGTTAGATGGTATAGGACAGGGCCAAGCTGCCTGCAGGGGGCGCCACACCTGAGTTCACTGGCCACGGGGGTCCTTGTGACGTCCCCTGGGGCCACAGGAAGCCCCTTCTTGGAAGCCCTCTCTTCCAGTGACTGCAGTCTCCTGGCCCTGCACTGTGTGAGGGAACCGGCGTGCAGAGATGACTCCTCACTCCGGACCTGGACGGAACCAGGGTGAGGCTGCAGCTGAGCCAAATAAGGACCGTTCAAAGGCTAAGGGCCCGGAGGGAAGACAAGCCCTGAGGCCTAGGGGAGCCTCCGGTTGTCAGAGCTGCTCTTCACTCCCGGAAAAGCACTTTGGGGCAGAAGCACTGCGGCTCTGGCCCCCAGCGGGAAGCAGCCAAAGGCTCAGGCTGAGGGTGCGGGTGAGGATTTATTGGGGTCCCGCCGCTGTGCCCCTCGAAGCTGAAGGTGGGAACCATTTCCTGGTTGTTGGTCCATTTTTGGAGAACCAGAACGATGGTGAGTGGAGATTTCCAAGTGTAGCAGCTTTTCCTGTGGTGGCGCCTCCGTCACTGAATTCTCGCTGGTGCTCAGCATCGTGAGTGGGAATTGGTGCGTAAGTTCCTCAGCCAAAGGCACCGTGGCCAGAGCCTGATGTTGCTGGGCCACTTGGTGCCTTTAAAAAAAATTTTTTAATTCTCACCCAACGCTTTGTTTTTACTGATTTTTAGAAGGGGGAGAGAGAAACTGGCATGAGAAACCTCTATCAGTTGCCTCCCATACGGCCCCAACTGGAGATCAAACCCAAAACCTAGGCATGTGCCCTGACCAGGAATTGAACCACAGCCTCTGGTGCACTGGACGACGCTCCTACCAGCTGAGCCGCCGCACCAGGGCCTGGTGCCTTATTCACACATTTCTCTCAGTGAATCTAACTCTTCTAATCCCAGTGGTATTCCAAAGTGTCATCTCAGTTGCGCATGCGCACAGCGCCAGGCTGAGGCCCCAGCCTGCAGGTCTCATTGCCATGACACCCCCTGGGGCTGCTGCTGTAGAGCTGTCGCAGGAGGAGCTAAGGCGGTGGTTTCCTGAGGTTGGTTTTAAGGCAGCCATCCCGGGGCGGAGCCCTATGGCCTTGGGCCTTCCCCGCAGCAGCTGCGGAGAAGTCTGCTAGGCTGGGATTTTGTCTGGAGATTTGGTTGGTTTCTGTTTTTTTATTCAGAGACTAAGCTGATCGTGAACTTGATTGGGTGGGGACCAGGGTTCTCTATTGTGACCTTATAAACAGTAAAGGGGGGAGTTGGCTTCCATATGTCAATGTCATTTGGCCTCTTCACTCGCACCCGCCCAGCTGTGCACTGATCCCCTGAGGGCCTCAAAGAAGGGCCTGTGTCCCTGTCCCCAAGCGACCCCTGGCCCGGCCGGCCAGCGGGAGAGGAGGAGACCAAGTTAGCACGTCCCTCCCTTCACTTCCGTGCTGAGTGACCAGTACGCAGCCTCAAGCTGCCTTCCAACACGTTTTATTGCACTCCCCCCACCACACAAACGTTTTAGCCTGTATGCAATTAGCATGGATTTCCTAAATATTATCCTATGTAAAAGCAAGAGCTTCTTGTAGAGTTTTATTAATAGTAATACCATGCCGAGGGGCGGGGAGAATACAAAACTCTCCATATGTTGTCACGTTAATCTCTACCAGCCCTTCTCCCACCCCTCGCCTCCAGGCCCCCGTCCCTTCCCCATCCAGGCCCCGCCCCTCTTATCAAAGCCCCTCCCCTCCCCTTTAGGTCCCGCCCCGTCCCCTCCAGGCCTCTCCCCTCTCCTGGCCACGCCCCTCCTCCAGGACCCGCCCCTCTCCTCCAGGACCCGCCCCTCTCCTCCAGGACCCGCCCCTCTCCTCCAAGCCCCTCCCACCCCATCAGACAACACCCCACCCCTCCGGGCCCCGCCCCTCTGCTAGGTCCGTCCTCCGTTTCCCCCATCTGAAGGTGGCTTAGGGCCTATGGCGCTCACACAACAACTCTGTCAGCTCTCTGAAGGGCTTGAAACTTCAAAATGTCAAGTTGAGGCTCGGCTTTCTCTCCTCCTCCCCATCACCCCTTCTCTTTCCTTCCTAATGAGGAGGACAGGCTCCGGGCAGCCGCCTGGGTGCCAGGGGTGGGTGCTGGGCCCCCGCCAGGTAAGGAGGAGCCACCCAGGAGGGCGCCTAGTGGCTTCAGAGCTTGGGTGGGTGAGGAGGGGGGTCCGTAGCCCAGAGGAAGGCAACGTAAGGGTGAGGGCAGCAGCCGCAGATGTGGGTGCGGAGGCCGGCAAAGGGAGCAGGGCGCTGGGGTCTGGTGCTGCGGCCACGCTGCTTCCTCCCCGCAGTGCGGGACGCCCTGCAGGTGCTGTGGAGGCGGGTGTGCCTCTGGCTAATTTCTGTATCACCTGACCCCACACACACTCAGACACACTCCGTGCCCTCCCTCACACACACACACTCACACACACTGCGTACCCTCCCCACACAACCCCCTCCCCCCACATACACACTGCGTACCCGCCCCACACCGCCTAGAATATCCTGGAGGCAGGGTTTGGCTCTGACGGCACCTGTTGAAGGAATGAGTGAGCCCTGCAGCTCCGCCCCCTCGGCGGTGACAGACAGTAGCCCCGCCCCTCGGCGGTGGCAGACAGTAGCCCCGCCCTCTGGCAGTGACAGACAGTAGCCCCGCCCTGGTGGTGACAGACCGTAGCCCTGCCCTCGGCGGTGACAGACAGCAGCCCCGCCCCTCGGCGGTGACAGCAGCCCCGCCCCTCGGCGGTGACAGACAGCAGCCCCGCCCCTCGGCGGTGACAGACAGTAGCCCCGCCCTCGGCAGTGACAGACAGCAGCCCCGCCCCTGGCGGTGGCCCGGACTGAGGCTGGCGCACCTGCGCTGGTGGCAGCGGTGGCGGCGGAGGGGGGCGGTGAACCATGAGGCCGTGTCCGGTGGCCGCGGGGGACCGGGACGACTTTCACTGAGGCGGGAGGAAGTGGGGGGCTGGGCAGAGGGACTCTGACCGCCAGTGGCGGCTGCCGGGCACGGGGCGGGGTGGGTGGCAGCGAAGCCCGGGGGGAGGGGCGGTGCAGCCGGGGAAGAGGGGAGTAGGAGCCGCCCAGCCCCAAAAGTTAAGCGGAGGAGCGACCCCAGAACTGAGGAGGGCATGGGAAATGGGGGGCGGGAGCTGAGGAGGGCATGGGAAGTGGGGGGGCGGGAGCTGAGGAGGGCATGGGAAGTGGGGGGCGGGAGCTGAGGAGGGGATGGGAAATGGGGGGCGGGAGCTGAGGAGGGCATGGGAAGTGGGGGGGCAGGAGCTGAGGAGGGCATGGGAAATGGGGGGCGGGAGCTGAGGAGGGGATGGGAAATGGGGGGCGGGAGCTGAGGAGGGCATGGGAAGTGGGGGGGCAGGAACTGAGGAGGGCATGGGAAGTGGGGGGCAGGAGCTGAGGAGGGCATGGGAAGTGGGGGGGCGCCCCCGGAACTGAGGAGGGCATGGGAAGGGGGGGGGCAGGAACTGAGGAGGGCATGGGAAGGGGGGGCAGGAGCTGAGGAGGGCATGGGAAGTGGGGGGGCGGGAGCTGAGGAGGGCATGGGAAGTGGGGGCGCAGGAGCTGAGGAGGGCATGGGAAGAGGGGGCAGGAGCTGAGGAGGGCATGGGAAGTGGGGGGGCAGGAGCTGAGGAGGGCATGGGAAGTGGGGGGCAGGAGCTGAGGAGGGGATGGGAAGTGGGGGGCAGGAGCTGAGGAGGGCATGGGAAGTGGGGGGGCAGGAACTGAGGAGGGGATGGGAAGTGGGGGGGCGGGAACTGAGGAGGGGATGGGAAGTGGGGGGGCGGGAGCTGAGGAGGGCATGGGAAGTGGGGGGCGGGAACTAAGGAGGGCATGGGAAGTGGGGGGGGGCAGGAGCTGAGGAGGGCATGGGAAGTGGGGGGGCGGGAGCTGAGGAGGGCATGGGAAGTGGGGGGGCGGGAGCTGAGGAGGGCATGGGAAGGGGGGGGGCGGGAGCTGAGGAGGGCATGGGAAGTGGGGGCGGGAACTGAGGAGGGGATGGGAAGTGGGGGGGCGGGAACTGAGGAGGGGATGGGAAGTGGGGGGGCGGGAACTGAGGAGGGCATGGGAAGGGGGGGCAGGAGCTGAGGAGGGCATGGGAAGTGGG